AGGTAAAACATCTTGTAATAACTTCAACAGCATGTCGAACGACTTATTACTCCACTTGTTGTACACTTTTAAGTGAAGCATCTTCACTATAAATGAAAATTTGGAATACTTCGTACAATTAGGATATAACTCCTCCTGAGTCGTACCCAACATGTCTGCATACTCTTCATAACCCTTATTAGTAAAGTTACCTCCATTGGTTGCTTCACTATAGATGAAATTTTGATGTTCATCCAACAAGTCAAAAAGCTCCTCATCAAAATCTTCATAACCTTCCATCGGGTTATCAACACCAATATCACTAGTGTTATCCATATTAGAATTGGATGACTCCCCATGATATACCCAAGTTGTATATCCATGGTCAATTCCATTAATCATCAAGTGGGCAAAAACTCCTTGAATGGGTTCCTTATAAACGTTTAAACAACTTTTGCAGGGGCAATAAATATCATTGTCATGACCAATATGTTCCTCTACAAAACTTATGAAAGATCTAACACCTTCAATGTAATCTACGCTAAATTTCTTCTTTCTCATCCAAGACTTGTCCATCCTAGTATAACAATCTTGTTAGACTCCAATTATCGAATAAGTAAAGGTTAAAGTGAAAGGAAATGGGGAAAACCTCTAATTAGCAATCTGGTACCTTTGACAGCCTTGCCCCTCTGACCAAATTGGTGACTTGAAATCCTAATCCATCAAATTGAACAACAAATCAAATATTAATACATAAACTGGAGTATACAGATATCTCATAAAAACAATCTTTGTACAAGCAAGGAAACACGGTAAACAAGATCCCATATAAACAATCATGCTATCCTCTATTTCCAAACTTGCAATTTATTATAAATTACATACCAAACAAACAATGATTAAACACAACTTAATAGTAGTAGCCAGTACCGAATCACAATAAGAACCAAATGGGAAATTAAATCGGTCTCTTGTCTCATTTGCTTCTACTCTATGTTATTGATGACTCTGTTCTCGACTTTAGGCTTGGTTGTCTCATATGCTGATTTTCTCTTGTTTGTCAGATGGTTCAAATCTTGTGAACCGTCACTAACTGAACATCATAAATGACAATTTTCATAGTGAATTGGAAAAGATGAATAAAAAATTCGAAACCATGTCAATGGTACTACTGATTCTCGCCAATTCTGAAGTAAACATTTCCATCGCCCATTCTACTCTTATAGTATAACATCTGTGGTCTTGATTTTCCTTATGTGAGTAGTCCTGGGTACATCTAATCAAACTTAAATAGACCTATGCAGGGAGGGCATCTACTTATGAAATGGGCATACTGTACATACAACAAGAAATGTTTGGAAGTATATCTAGCTGTACCTACACATGTCATAGCCCAAATTATGTGTCCAAAAATAGTAGTGCCACCAAAACATCCCAACTCCACGTGTCTCCCTTCCTCCTCCTTCCAATATACTACTTGTGCCCCCATTAATCCCTTCCTCTCACCACGTAACCCCACATATCTCTCTTCCTCCACCTTTCTGTATACTGCTTGCAGCGCCCCATTAGTCCCTTTCTCTCATACTAAGATTGGGAAAGTAGTAAAAGAGTTTCATTCTAGCCTTTCATGTTGGTTTTGCTCTACTGCATGATAAGAATGTACAGAAAGGGAGGAGACCCGCCATGCCGATGAGAAAGAGAAGACACCCATCACAACTTGGATGAAACCACGCATTGACTTGGCGGAGTAAAAAAGGGTTAGGTTTGTGTTTGGTTTACCTGTTTAATTATGGATTCAGTATGGTTAGTAGATTATGCATTGGCTTCTCTGTCACATAACTCATTTGGATTTTATGGCAACAACTATTCAATTTCACTTTAGGGTTCTAATTATAGTTGTGTTTTAGGACAGATTGAACAAAATATAGCTAGGATTTGCAGTGTTCCTATTCATCTACAGCTGCTACTGATATGTTCATGCGAAGAACAACTACTGCCCTGACACCATTTTCTAAATTGGATGGATCACTAGCCATTAGAGATAGAGAGTGATTACACGATGAGATAGAAATCCATACCTAAACTCTTGAACTCGCGAGATGGAGCAGCTAACCGACAGAGAGAATCGAACAACAACAGGTAACGAGCAGAGGGACAGATTATAGGATTCCAGTCGATGCAAAGAAGCCGACCGCAACGCAGGGAAAATAGACGAGCAGTGGATGGAAGTCGCCGGCAAAGTAGGGAGTTATGCGCGGAATGGTCGGGCACCATTATGGTAAAGGGCAAGCTTGATTTTGGGGAGAATTTTTAGGGTTCGAAGTCCAGGAAGAGAATGAAGAGAGGATGGAGAACAGAATGCATCGCACTTTCGGGGATGCCAAAGTCGAAAGTGGGTATCAGAACGGCCCCGTATTTGGATTCCACAATAAGATAAAATATTATTTAAATAAAAATTGTGCAAAATTTATTAAAGGAAAGAATGGACCCAACTCGAACGCAATAGAGTATCTCCAAAATATCTCCAATATCTGGTAAAAAAAAATCCCTAACCTTTCTACAACGATAGATAATCGTCGCAATATATCTACAAACATCTGCGACGCCAATTAATCATTGCAAAATGTTTCAAAATTCTGCGACGCAAGGCAGTCGTCGCAGAATATCTCATACATTCTGCAACGGCCAACCGTCGTCGCAAATATCTCCGAACATTCTCCGACGAATTAATTCGTCGTGGAAAAAACAAATATCGTCGCAAACTCTCTAAAAAACATGCCGCTGAACATTGTCATAATGTGCAACGAAAAATAGAATTCGTCGCAGATTGTGCATCTTCTGCAACGGAAAAATACAATTCGTCGGAGATTATGCACTTTCTGCGACGAAATTGTTGTCGTTGCAGTATAATTCGTCGCAGAAGGTGCAGTTTCTTGTAGTGTCGTATCGTTTCATCAATTCGATATGCTGAAAATTCATTAGAGCGTTGAATTTTGTTTGTGTAATCGGATGCGGTAGTTTCTCTAGGATTTGAACCGAGTACACATAGTGCGCGGTCCTTACATGTTGTTACTCTACTCAATTCGTACAAATCATCTCCTCAAGCTGTATCATAGATCAAACTAAGTATGAGTTTATCAAATTCATGACGATTTTATTGCACTGCATTGTTGTTTTGGTTTTAAATCATTGAATTCTGTAGTTTTTACTCCATAAACGATCTGTAAACATTAAATGGTTTTGTCGTCATATCAAACTAGACAATAATGAAAATATAAATGTAACTAATACGAACACGTAGAACATTAGTAGGCATATGGAAACACAGAAGATTCATTACTCCTTAGTCCTTAGCCTATAAGGATTACCATTCTGCAACTTAAGCAAAGAGCCAGTGACTGATTCTGCAATTTACCAAGGCATTTATTCCCTCCTTGTTGCTCCAGCATTGCTGTTTGGTAATTGGTGGCCCTATCAAAAACTAAGAAAGAAAATTCCTGATTGGTACATTCTTTTGTTCATTTGTTTTTATATGTTCCATTAGGGTTGGGAAACGGTGCGGTCTGGTCCAGACCAGACCATCTATACGGTCTATGGTCCAGACCGAGAGGCTAAAGTATAGACCACAGACCAGACCACAGACTATACTGTTTGGTCCAGACCATGCCTGTGCGGTCTGGTTCGGTCTGCTCTGGTCCACATAGACCACACTCAACGAAAAATGAATAATTTGTTTAGTCAACCACACAAAAAATTGAACCAATAACCAGAAAAAATAATTGTTATTTGCCTTAAATCATCAATCCTAACATGCATGAATAATTTTGATACTCTAAATCTTAGTACATACCAAAGATACAAAGTAAAAGCATCCAACTTGCACCATAACGTCATAAACATTAACATAATGTCATATAGAGACACGATTATCTCTACTCTCTAGTTAAATGTGGTTATGAATTAAGGAGGGACGAGATTCACAAAACTAAGGTTGAAACTTGAGTGTCGTTGTGGGAGTTGAGAGAGTGGTCGAATGGGCTGTTAACACGTATTTACAAGTCAGTTGGGTTCACGATTTGGTCCGGTAAACCGCGGTCTAGACCAGACCAGACCAAGATATCAAAACATAAAATAGTACAGACCATGGACTAGACCAGACCATACTTAACGGTCTACGGTCCGGACCAAACTGTGCGGTACGATTTGGACCGCGGGTTTTCTAACGGTCTGATCTATTTTCCCAGCCCTATGTTCCATTCCCTCCAATAGATAACCGTTGTCTAACTTGGCAGTAAAGTGAAATTTACCACCAATGACCAAACAGTGTCACGTAGTTGAATATACATAATTACCCTTCACGTGTGTTTGTCGTCCCACTTGCTCCTAACTTTTTAGTAAATTACTACCTAATTTGGAATTGGTCTTAGTTTTCCATTTATAAGCCGGTTTAATTTGGCAATAAAAAAAAATCAATATTTTGTAAAATTAATTTGCATTCTTTGTGGATTGCATGAATTCATTGAACAAAGGCCAATTCACAGTGTTTTCCCCCCCTTTTCCCGACGTGGAATACTCTGTTTATTTAATTTTTAGGTATTTGGGGTCCTCCATCCATTCATCCACTTGGCCAACTTGACAATAATAATAATAATTATTATTATTATTTATCAATAAGTGCAGATCAAAATGTGCTGTTGGGTTTACCTTTTTGTGCACATAGATTGGCTCAATCTGCCAGAGTGGCTGAAAGCTCAGTCCCTTGTTTCTTGAGCTTCTCTCAATGGATGTTAGATACATGGAAATTGTATAAGATTTGTCAAGTTTAATCAAATTATATTGTCGTATATTTGAATTTGAGAAATTTGACGTACGTATTATACTACGAAATATTGTGTTTCACGTCCTTCTATTTTGGTTGATAATGTCTCTTACTCTTAACAGATTTGGTAATTAGGATGTTATAAACCCTTCGTTCACAAGAGAAACCACGTAAAATATTGTGTCGTTTGGTATTTAAACCAGGTTTTTCGATAACGAGGGGTGGTTCCGGCGGCTACGATTCAGCCAAGAATAATCCGCATCACGGCGGTCAGAGGTTGAACCCGCAGCTGAGCTTCACCGGCCCAGAATCGGGCCTTTCTCAGATATCGGAGGGCAGCGAGAGCGACGACGTGGACGAAGAGACCGGCCGCCACCATAGTTCGTATAGCAATCCGGCGTCGTCTGGGTTTGTCATGGATTGGGACAATAGTAGTGGTGCGCCCAACTCCATCACATTCTCGGGACAACCGCCAAGCAAGAAGTTCAGAGCCATGGATGGAGACATCTATACTTGCTACAACGGCTTGGACACCCAGGTAATTGTGATTATTTTTTTTTTTTTTTTGTCGCGTAAGTTATTGGAACGAACTGATTCTGATATATCGTGTTTGGTCGGGTGCAGTTTAGTATGCCACAGGACGACGTTAGAGATGGCGACGACGGTGGACAGGTTGTTGCATTATACCGGATGACTCTGTCCCGTGCAAAGTTCGAGCTAAGCGTGGGTGTGCCACCCACCCTCGAAGCATTGCGAAAGGGTTAGTTATTCTTAATTACTTACTTAGTTATAATCTCATCATATAAGTGTTGATAATGAAGATTGTTTACGTAGTATAATATATCATCACGATTAGCCGTGTTTAATTACGCAGGAAAGGCGGACCAGAATAAGTGGGAGGTTGAAGAAGCTTCAAGATCTCGTTCCTAACATGGATAAGGTAAGCAAATATCTATATATATATCTTCTGTTGAAAGCGTCTCTCGTTCAATGTACGTAGTAATCTTGGAAAACCTTTGGTCGTTGTGCAGCAAACGAGCTATTCAGACATGTTGGACTTGGCGGTTCAGCACATCAAAGGCCTTCAAAACGAACTCGAGGTGTGTGTTCTTGAAATACCATTATACGTTTAAATTAGCGTTGAAAATTCGAGTATTATGTTTCGATTCATTGTTTAAATTCAGATCTTCGTTGTTTACTTTGTGCAGAAACTTCATCAGGATATGGAGAATTGCACCTGCGGATGCCGACCATGCAAATGACTTTCTTGGCTGACAGATTTTCCTACCAGAGACAGCTTTTGTATCCATTTTATTCTTCTTAAATACCCGCCAAAATGGTTGTTTTCTTAGCTGAATAATTATTTACACACTTGGGGGGAAATAGTTTTAGTTTTTTTTTTGTTTGTTTCTAGCTTTGTTTATGTACATATTACATAATATGGGGGATTTTTTTAATCAAACAAGTGTTTATATTTTACGGTTCAATCTCAGAAACACAATTTCCTTTACTGGTAAGTTGATATTTACAATCGATAACAATAATGACTAACCCCCCAAATAAAAGTAACGTAATTTATATTTTATTTCGGTTTTGTGGTTTTGGAGCATGTAATTGGAACGGACCAGGCTTTGGGCTTTTTTAGCGGGAGGTTGATTTCCAAGCCCCGTTTCCCTCGTCAGCCCAATGTTCCGCAATCCGGGCCCAACTTCATTATGCAATTCCACTTTAAAGCTTCTATGGGGAAAAAACAAATGTGGATGACTGAAACGAAAGAAATAATAACATAAGGAACTGAAACGGAGAAGGAAAGACAAAAGAGAAAAGAAGGGTGGCCGTCGTTCTCTATCTTAGCTAAAGGGTTTCAAGCTGCCGGGGACCGTCTGAGATCCAATTGAAAGGGAAAAAAGGTCGTCGGAAACAGAGAAGAAGAAGCTACTGCTCTCCCGCTCCGAGGTCTACTGAATTGTCATCATTTCCCTGTCGCCGGGGGAGATAGGGAAGGATTTCTTTTACTTTGTTCCTTGTCAGATGTCGCATAGATAAAGAAATTGGAGAGGGAAGCGAAAAAGCAGGTCTTTGGATCCGATCTCGATTGAGAGAGAGAGAGAGAGAGAGAGAGACCAGTCATCGGATTCTACTGTTCCCGCGGCGACATTGCCCCATCGCCGATCTACACTGTGGGGGGAGGAAGCTAGAGGCTGAATTGGGTCCGTTGTGTGAAAGTCGACTACTTGTCGTCTGTATTGCTGTGAATCGAGGGGATAGCTGCTTTGAGACGGTAGCTGGATTGCAATTGAATCATCTTCTGCCCTCAAGCCTGGGTATCTTTCTTCTTCTTCATATCTGATTCTCATTTCTCTGTGTAATAAGAACATGATTGCTGATAGGACGTAGTTATTAACTTAATATGATTGAAATTACTGTTGGATTCTCTTGCTGGCCATTCGTTGCAATACAAGAGTTCAATCTTGAGATATGGGGGTTTTTGTTTCTGATTTTGATATGTTGATTGGGTAATTGCAGATAGTAATAGGTAATGGTACCATCTACCAGCGATGTAGATGAAGCAGTTGAAATGGAGGAGGAGACTTCAGATGATGGACAGGAAACAGCTGCACCACCAGAAGCAGTTGAGATGGAGGAGGAGATTTCAGAGGATGGACAGGAGACAGCTGCACCACCAGGACATCAAGAAGAAGATGAGTCAATCCTAGAACCATGTGAGGGTATGGAATTCGATTCAGAAGACGCTGCAAAGATATTCTACGACGAATATGCACGAAAGCTGGGATTCGTCATGCGTGTGATGTCATGCCGTCGGTCTGAAAGGGACGGGAGAATTCTTGCTCGTCGGTTCGGCTGTAACAAGGAAGGTCACTGTGTTAGCGTTCGAGGCAAACAAGGTAACGTTCGAAAGCCACGACCCAGCACGAGGGAAGGATGCAAGGCTATGATTCATGTTAAGTTTGATAAATCCGGGAAGTGGGTGATCACGAAGTTTGTGAAGGAACACAATCATCCGCTCGTTGTTGTTGCGCACCGTGAAGCCCGCCAGACATTGGTTAGTTTGTTAGTCAGTCAGTTGTCTCTCCCTTCTGACTTACAGCAGGATATATATTCTCTTGTTGTCTTTGACAATGTTTTGGAAGGATCAGCATGTCTAGTTGTTGGTAGGTTATGAGAACTAAGTCCATAGTTTAGTTTCTATTCTGGTTGATTTGATCCTAAGTGGCTTTTGCTCGAGCCAGCAATATAGTTGTCATTAGCCACGACATAAGTAATTCTATGTTCCATAGGGACTTACAGCTGGCTTGACATGGCCGTGTGTTTAACAGAAATGGTAGATTATGGTTTTCTATTTGCACAGAAGGCTTAACTGAGATGAAACTTCTGTATATTGCTGCACAGGATGAGAAGGACAAACGGATACAAGAACTGAGCATGGAGCTACGAAACAAGAAGAGGTTATGCACGGTGTATCAGGATCAGCTATCCGCATTCATGAAGATCGTCGAAGACCACTGCGATCAGATATCGACGAAAGTGCAGAATGTGGTGAGAAATATCTCAGAGTTGGAATCTATAGAGTAGGGACCTATGGCTTCTTCAGTTTCTTCTGCATGATAGATAGTTTGCAGGGAATAATCCAAGTCATCTTATACGATTGTTTTCCTGTAAGTAAATTGCAATGTGAATTTGTCAGTCAACTAAACAGAAGACTTGGTAACAACCAATGACAGGTTCACTCATCTTGTATATGTTTATTTCAACTGATCTTGATTACCACTTCTTTCGTGTAAAATTCTTAAACTTTGACATGAATGATAGAACTTATGGGTGTGATTTGGCTATGATGGAATGTGAGAGCTATTAAAAAAATACTTGCTAGCCTAGCAAAAGAAACGACTGGTTTATTAGTTACTCCAAATTTGAGAACACAAATTCGTTCAAAAGCTAAGTTGAGTGATTAATTTGTACATGTCCCTAAAGTTTAGTGGCCGTTTGTGTAATTGGCAGATAATAATGTCCCCTTATTTCCTGGCTCATGTTAAAGGAAATTATTTTGTCTCCTTCTAACGATTCATTTTTTCTTCATTTGTTTAATTTTAGGTTTTATCATGCTAGCATGGTGAATAAGATTTCATAAATCTCCAAAAGTAATCCTTTCTTTTTGGCTTTTCATGAGTGATTCAAACATTTTAAAATTGTAAGTTGTAATCCTAAAAGATTAACCAAGACACCCAACATCATTGATTCAATGGTCATCATCATGAAACTACCAATTACCAATCCCTCTACATTATTATCACAATTATCAAAATTGATTTAAACTCATCAATAATACGTTGTCTTGACCTTAAAAGTTCGCAAGTACTACTTCTTTGACCTACCATAATGAATTTCTATATTACTATTACAATCAAACAAGGAGGAAATCAGTAAATAATTCGCTAGACTCTAACCCAATACATTATAACTTACCATAAAAAAATCGACAGTGAATTCATGACACTCCAACCCAACTCGCTAAACTTGTTTTATGATTAACATCCTACAGGCTAGAATAAGGAGAAAGGATTAAAAATTTCAACCCTTTTCCTTTATTTGAGCATTAAAATTCAACTCCAAGTCTTCCCAAGAAAACTCCCCCAAATAAGGAGAAAATTAAATTTATTATTTGATTTGATAAAATAAACTAATAAAGACATTGTAATAATTCAAATGAAAATAAATAAATACTTTTGTAATAATAATAGAGGGAAAAATCAAAAAAGGAAGCTGCTCCATCATTCATACCACAGCAGCATGTCTCTGCCAGCTTGACTCCCTCTTTACCATTACAGAGACTTCCCCCCTTCCCCTTTCTTCCGTTCTTCCTCCTCCTATCTCTCTCTCTCTCTCTCTCTCTCTCTCTCTACCCTCAAACCCATTTCCTCCCCGCCGCCGTTTGCCGGGGAAAACATATCCGAGGTGAGCAAACTGCGAAGCGAGAAGAAATGTCGTCGTCGGACGAGGAAGGAGGCGAGGAGTACCTCTTCAAGATCGTGATAATCGGCGACTCTGCCGTCGGGAAGTCCAATCTCCTGTCTCGCTACGCGCGGAACGAGTTCAACCTCCACTCCAAGGCCACCATAGGCGTGGAGTTCCAGACCCAGAGCATGGAAATCGACGGCAAGGAGATCAAGGCCCAGATTTGGGACACCGCCGGCCAGGAGAGGTTCCGCGCCGTCACCTCTGCTTACTACAGGGGCGCCGTCGGCGCCCTCGTCGTCTACGACATCAGCCGCAAGACCACCTTCGAGAGCGTCGGCCGCTGGTTGGACGAGCTCAAAAGTAAGTGTTTTTTCAGCTGCTGAGCTCTGCTTTCCTCTGGCTCATTCGTTCGCGCATTCATTGATTGAATTTGATTATTGGTTGGGAGCTTGAAGTAGATCTGGAGGTTTGAACTGAAATTGAGGAACTAATCGATCTTTCAATTCCCATGGAGTTTTTTTTATAGTATCAATTTAGATGGGGAATTAGAATTTTTTCGGCCTACAGCTAGCTAGCTAGCATTTGTCTGGATGTGTTTGCTTCTATCTGTTTGGCTTTGAGTGTGGATCTTTTGATTCGTGTAGATTCTATCTTCGGAGCTCCGATGCTCTGGATAAGCTTGTGATTAGAGAACTTGCATTGTTCATCTGAATTTCGGTTCAGGCTGGGATGGGGAGGAAGGAAGTTAAAGTTTGTTTCTTTTGTTGATCTGTGATTGAAGTCTTTACCTTTCTGGATGTAACTGAACTTAGTTACGTTAAAGGCAGTAGTTTGAGGCAGAGTGCTCTTTGATTGGAGACATCATTGGAACTTTGGAAGTTCCTTGGCAGGGTTTGAAAAATAGATTGAAGAAAAAGATGGCTCCTTTTTGGTAAACAAGATGGGACCATTGAATGGTTTAAGAGAAGTTGGAATGGATTTCATTGTTAGGAGCTGAAAAATTACCATATATATTCGCTTTTCGAATCTTGCATGAGAGTTAGTTGAGTTGGTGCCTAACTAGCAACGATATACATTTCTGAAAGTCATCCCCTTTTCTCTTACATCTTACCCCAAAGGTTGCGTATCACTTTTATTATAGAACTTGATATTGAGACAACTAGGCAGCAAGCTTCTAATAAAGCAGCATGAGCATTGTCCATTGTCTAGGCCAAGTTTTGCCGTTATGTTGCTGATGCGAAACCACTGTACACCACCACATGATCACCAAATCGGTACTTAAACCCTCTTTCCACCCTACCACTTCTATACAACTTGGTGACTATCACGAACAAAAATGCGACTTCTCATCTCGATTAAAGGGGTGGTGCTTTCTTATTAGTCTTCTTAATCTTGTTATCGTTTTGAGTGTAGTTGGGACTTGAGAAGTAAAATGGTTTGGCTTTCTGAATCATTTCCAGCTTCTGTCTGTTTTCGCATTGTGGAGACATTGCTTGCTTACTAATATCAGATCGCTGGTAGTTTGAGTGCTTTGGTTATGTTATGAACTAGAATGAAATATAACTAGAAAGATAAACTATATAAGCTGATTTGCTATTCTACAGTCTACCTATTGATGTGCAATAGATTCAGTGGAAGTCTTTTCTACTTGGTGTTGTAGCAGAATCAAGTCGAAAATTGGAGATTTTGCGTAGTTTAGAGGATGCCGAGATGACTGTTTCATTAATCAACACTAATTATACATGTATGTCAAAAAAGTGAAATAAATGTCTTGGACTATTTTCAATGTGTTTGACAATTGCTGATTGTGAGTGGCGATATCTTTTACTATATATAGAAACCTTTGATCCTCCATATACCTACTATCATGGCTAAAATTTTATTGAAACGTTGGTGCAGTGCATTCTGACACCACGGTAGCCAAAATGCTGGTGGGCAACAAATGTGACCTGGACAACATTAGAGATGTGAGCGTCGAGGATGGCACGACCCTTGCAGAACAAGAGGACCTATTCTTCATGGAAACTTCTGCACTCGACTCGACCAACGTTAAAAAGGCCTTCGAGATCGTGATCCGAGAGATCTACAACAATGTGAGCAGAAAGGTCCTGAACTCAGATGCGTACAAGGCCGAATTGTCCTTGAACAGGGTCACCATATCCAACGATGGTAGCAACGGATCAAAGAAATCCGGTGGCTACGCGTCCTGCTGCTCCAGGTGACCGCCTTCCTCCTCCTCCGATCTCTTCTCTGGACATCAAGAAGGGTAGAATTTTCAGGCAGTTCTTCCTTGTTAGTTCTACTCTTGGTTTGTTGATTCAATTCGGGTCCAACGTTTTGGTCTGTTTTTCTGCTGTTGCATAGTTTAAAGAACAGACACTTTGTTTCAGTTTGCAAAACAAATCAAGTTAAATATCGTATAGATGAACATTCGATTATTGGTTCGGAAGATATGCAGAAAGGCCTAGAGTGAGAGAGACGAAAAGGATGACCATTTTTTTTCCTTCTGAGATGTTCTGTATCATGAGTTGGGTAAAAAAAATTGTTGTACACTTGCTCCTACAATGCTCATAATTCTACTTCCCGCCTTTTGTATCCATTTGATCTGTGCATTCCCATGTTCATGCTCTTCTCAGCAAGGATGTCCTTTTGTATCCATTTGATCTGTGCCTTCCCATGTTCATGATCTTCTCAGCAAGGATGGAGAATCATTTGATAATATTATTATATTTTGAAGGTTGCGAAATTATATCGGATTTCGAATTGGTATGCTTGATAGTTGTTCAACCTTAAAATTCAGAAACTGTGAGAAAACCAAACAAGTAATATAGTGATAGAAGTAGAACCACATTGGTTTTTATCTATAGTGAGTGGTGAATGGTGATAGAACCACACTGGTTTTAGAGGCCCTCATCAACCTCATCCAACATATCTTATTAGTTATTAGTGGTGAATGGTGATATAGCAATTGGTCCTATCCAATCACTTTGTGTTCTTCCAGCTTGTGAGATTGGGGCTTCTATTGACTTTTTTGCATCCATATATGATGGAAGGGATTTGCTTTGCTTGCCTGGAACCCAAAACTAACACTAACTCACCCCAAAATGGGCTGGAGATCCTCAAAATCTTTTCCCTCCAAGGATTCCTCATCTTCCTTTGAATATAGTCTTATTATTATTATTTTCAATCGTGTTGGCAACTATGGCTGGTTTGGCTTGTGGGTGGGGAAATTAAAAGGTCACAAACTCACTTACTCACAAGTCACCAACCAATGTATGGGTTGGGCGGTTGGCAAACAATGATGGGAACCCAACTCCCACAACCACAACACACACTTCAAACCCTACCACTACTAACTCACTAACATGAAAAAAATAAGTTGGAGCCTGCAACACTAACACAACAATGGAGATGGGTACCAAAAATGAGCCACTCACAAACACTAATATAAGCTGAAATGCACTACTATGAGCAGTAGTGTCACCCTGACATGTTATTTGAAAAAACTACCCCGAAAAGAAGTACAAAGTTATATAGTGATTCTTAACAAATACATTTATGGATTGTGTTGTTTGTTTTGTTTTGAGCCTCTCGATTGGAAATTCCATATTGATTGGTTGTAAGTTAGGATAAATTGCCGTTGCTTGTTCATTACATCATTGGGCATATGGCTTGCATCGCATGTCATGTATCTTGAAGATTCATATATTGTCTCTCGAGCGGGCTCGTATAAATCTCGCATCTCTTATTGTTGCTATGATGCGTTCAATGTTTGTGAACCATCGACAATGTAATAACTAACTATGGATAGCCATATTATAGAAAGATATGGACGAAATCTTTTGACTTGATTAAAAACGGATAAGAGCCGTGATACAGAGACATAATTAACATACATAATACAAATTACCTATGAAAATACAATTAAGAAAACTATGAAGGGAAGATCAGCAACAGATATATGTCTTCTAGAAGCCTATTTTTGTTGTTCTGTTTTTGGTCCTACCACGATGAAGCAATAGACTCCTCCTTTTCAAGCTTCTGATTTTGATTGCTAATGACAAAGACTGATAAGAAAAGATGGCTGCCCTTTTTTATTTCCTATCCTTGTGGGATTCTCTTTAGATTTCCTTTCCAAGCCTCCACCTTTTCACTTACTGTGATCTCCAATACTTGGCCATCTCGAACCCATTTCTGGAGTTGTGGTAATCCTCAATTGCCTGGTGGATCTCAGCCTCTGTGTTCATCACAAATGGCCCATGCTGCACCACTGGCTGGTTCAGTGGCTGCCCTGCAATCAACACGAACCTCAATGGCTTCGAGCTCGACCTGTTCCACGCGCTCATGCCTTCTCCTGGTCCCAGAACGACGGTATGGTGGGCCGCAATGGGGCTCGAATTTGGGACACCAAACACTCCTTCGCCTTCGATGATGTAGATGAATGCGTTCCATGTCTCTGGAATTGGCTGGTGGAATTGGGTCCTTGGCTGCATGGTGAAGTCCAGGTACATTGTTGGTGTTCTGGTGTAGACTGGTGACTCCACTCCCATCGATTCTCCTGCTATGATCCGGACTTCGACTCCATCGTTCTCTGCTGTTTTGATGTCTGAGCTCAGTAGTTCCTGGTATCCTGGCTCAATCCTGTAACACAAAAAAATTGCAAGGGAAAGGTAATATCAGATTCATTCGTTACATCGTGTTCGAATCCCAGTAGCTCCTGAAACTAACAAGTTAATGTATTGGTGAACCGTCTTTCTATGATTCGAGCTATTGCAACGAACTGGTTATTGAGGCTTACATTTTGTATTCAGAAGAGAGATTGATCCAGAGCTGAAGGCCTCTCTGGACTCCTTGCCCTGCAGGCATTTCTGAGTGGATGATCCCTCTTCCTGCTGTCATCCACTGTTCATATTGACAAACAGGAGGGGGGAAATGATAAGCATGAAAGTGACATAAACAGGAACAAAGTATGTAACTCAAATGAGGTGTTAAGCAGAGTCATTGATTTTGTACCTGAACATCTCCAGTTTGAATGGTGCCATTGTGGCCAGCAAAATCCTGATGAGTGAAAGATCCCTGAAAACACATCAAGGAAAATAAGTTAGACATATATAAGTTGGTTCCTGGAGTGTTATAAATCTTCTCACAGGCATTTTGTCAAACAGGTTGGTTTCTGAACTATTGCCAACAGTACCTCCAGCATGTATGTAACAGTTTCAAACCCTCTGTGTGGATGATCAGGAAATCCACCAGGAGCTGACACTGCAAAAAGGTAATCAAACGAATTCAAGCCTCAAAATGCATCCCATTGAGAGGAGAAAGAAAGCATTTCTTATCCTGCCAAATGCACAGAACAACTAAAAACTGACACAGACCTGAAAATTCATCCAACATCAGGAAAGGGTCCAGAGACCTGAGCTCGCTCCTGCAATGAAAGAAAATCCAATTCCAACCACAACCCACATCAGATAACTCTCACCAAACCAAAACCCAGTTCTCAGAATTTGGTAAAAACCGAAGAAATGACATAAAGATCCATTCTTGGAGCCTCACGCAATAACCCGAGCTATTGAGACAAATTGGTTCCATAACAAAAACAACTTATACACACGCATATACCTTCCAATGCTTCTCCTGACAGCAGCACCATCGCCTTCCCGCTGGAGCTTAGCAAGAACCTTCTTGGTCACCAACCTCGGAGAGTCAAAGCCAGAGGAACCCGATTCAGACATGGCGTTTCTGACAAAGTTCACAGCTTTCTTCGCGTTACCGATCTGGGTATTCCCTCTACACGCTCTACTAGCAGGCAAGATCAACCTCTGAAACACAGCTCTCATAAAAAAAAAAGTCAAGACAACTTCTGCGATTCTCGTCAACTGTTTGTTGGGTTTGTAAAAAAAGGATGGATTGCTGAGGAGGCGCTCTGGTCAATCTATATATAGAGGAGCCGAAAGGGAGGGAAGGGAAGGGGGATTAAATTAAGTGAGTTGGAGGCAACCACGGACATGACGGCAACATATGGTCATGCTGACGAGATCACAACAATGGCAGAACAAATTGGAATTTGGGGGGGATGAAACTAAGCTTGGAAAGTCGGAAGATACTTCTTTGTTTTTTGTTTCAGCAGGTGATTGAAGGCGGCTTCAAGCTTCAACCCCATTTTTGCTTCGGTCATGGTGTCGAAGCTTTGGACGTAAGCATTACGATGGGTCTCTTTTGCATTCAGATTACGTTTTATTATATTTATTTATTGCTTCTTGGTGTTATTGGTTTAGAAATTTGTTGAGAATAGGACGTAATAGTGACGCCGGTAATGATCTGTCAACAGTGACAGTTGACGAAGAAAATGAGATATGTTTGGACATTTATCATTTATTTTCGCAATTTAGCGCTTCTTTTATACAGTTTTATCTATAATAATTTATATACATTTGGTCTCTTTGAAAACATTACATCCATGAATATGAACCCTGCACAAAATTTACATCCGATTTGGCCACGGTACTTATTTGCCTCATAATTTACACATATTCGGGACATTATCCTAATGTACATATTCATAATATATCTTTGTATGATTGTATCTAATACATCTTTGTATCTTGTACGCGGTACATATTTTGCCTCATCGTTTAGACATTCACCCTTCGCAATAAGCACAAATTTAATGATGCCAAAATTTGGCATTGCCTAAAATATGGTCAATGACCCTGAAGGCCTCAACCAACTAGCTCATATAGAACCTGCATAATTTTTTACACATATATATATAAATATTCAAGGACATAAAACCGTCATTATGACGATAGATATATTATTGTAATAAAGAACATTTTCAAAAATTCCTTATGAACTGTGATAATAAAGACTTTTAAGGAGTAGCACAAACTCGCAGAAGAAACAAACTCCAGGCACAGATTGAGACAGCTCTTGCCCTGCTGCGACCACTGTCCATTGTTAATTTTTATGAGCTGGAGCATGTTCCATCACAGCACATCACAATGGTGGCTAGTCAAGAAACACAAAACGAGATCTAACAAGTTTCCTCCATGGATTGTGCTACAATTGGATTGAAATTTCAAGCAGAGGTAGGGCAAGGAGCTGAGCTGAGGAGTGGAGTCGGTTTAGAGTGGGCCAAAGTTAACTGGTTTCAGAACTGAACTGGTTCCATGAGAGCTCTCTCCATCTGCTTTGCCCTCGTCTTAATGGACATGTCGAACACCTTCTGTGAGAACTCAACCACGAGGCCTCCAAGGATGCTAGCATCAATCTGGGGGGGAAAAGAACGAGAGAGATTCAGTCAGCTGAATGTCCTCTGTAATTCAGTTGGGTATCAGAAGAAACTAACGACTTTTGTGTTTGTGGAGCGAAATATGCACCTTCTGCTCAAGTGTAACCTGCTTCCCTTGTCCAATAATCTGCTGTAGTGTCTCCTTCAGTTCTTTCTCTTCCGATGGGGGGAGGGGCTGGTTTGTACAAATACAATACAGACCAATACGAAGTTGTCAAACAATAGAAAGCAAGATAGTTCACTCACCAACAACCTGATATAAACCATATATGTTTTTCCATTAAAGATCTATTGTAGTAACAATAAGCCCATATGGTGGTTAGGTCACTCATTCCAGATAGCTTCACAGCTAGCACTCTTATGCCAAATCCTCGGTCCAGAATTCCGCATTCATAAGCTTCGTGTTTAAACCAAAGTTAAAGCTCACAAGTTATTTCAAACTCATTACACAATACATGAACAAGAACTTGCTGATCCATGATCATAACAATTGGCAGGCAGAAATTTATCGTTTTTCCAATTATCTTATACAATGCATGAAACTCAACTTGCATAGGCTGAAAGTTAAATGTTATTATACTACTAGAGCCTTGAAGGTTCACGGTCAATATACTAAGTTCAATGTAAGGTGAAGCAACAGTTGCTAACGGAATCAGGGAACCATGCAAAAAAAGGTGATGAATTGCAAAGTAAAACTCACCATAACTGTTGTCACGGTAGCTTTCACAATTCCTTTATCAGCCATTGTCAGCTCCGCAAACTTCTTAGCTATGGTATCAATGGACCTCAGCCTTCCATTCTCAGCAAGAACAACTGATCCAAAAAACAATTATATTAGCTACCTCTCAGCACCAAAATCTGAGAAAAAGCTAATTTGTAAAATGTTAAAGTTTCACTTAGGGAGGTACATCTCAGAATCCAAACAGAGTCATCATTGTAATGGGAAAAACAATAAGTCAAAGAAAGAAATTAGCTCCCTGGCACCTGAGCACCCCTAGGTTGATTCCCTCTTTGCATACATGATCAAGTTCCCCTGGTTTATCAACCTTTTAGTTATATGTCAACCATAGTTCATATGATCATTTGAAGTAATCAACAGATGGCAATAAGGTCCTGTGTAGAAACTACCATTTAGAGAGTGCAGGAAACCAAAAATAATTTCTACTTCCCAGGATGAACACAACGCCTTACTTAGAGAAGAACTTCTTACCCAAGAAGGTCTTGGTAACTTGTGAAAATTTGGCTTGATCAGCTATGTCATTAATGGCCTTGACTCTCGTATCAGCAGGCACTGACAAGTCCTTTGTGAACTGAGAAAAAGTAGGACTTTTCTCCAATGCCTGAACAAGGTCAAGTAGTTCGGCCTCAACTTTATCCAGCACATTAGCCTTTTTGGATGCAATGTACAAAGCAGAGGCATAGTTTCCTGCTCCCCCATACAAAGCTATTGGCACCTACACGAAAAATAGAAACCATTATCGGAAGATTATACAATGGAACAAGAAAGTTAGAAGATTTTTCTGGTGATACAAGCTCTAGATTCAAACACATTTTTGAAAGACCCACCCCTACTGCCCAACCTTTTTTGAAACTAGCATTAGACAAGTCAATGAATTCAAATACCTTAACTTTCTGCTCCTTAGGAGGTGCAGCTGCGGTGGCATAATTTCTGGAAGACTGCAAGAAACCAGATGAAGTTAATCAAAAGCGTCACAGCAAACTAAGTATAATCACCCTGCTTGCGAGAGAACCATATGCAGAACACCTATATATATTAGACTCGAAATGAAAATTATGCCTTTCCACGAACAGCATCAAGGGTAAAACCCAATGCAAATATTCCTGTGCTCAATCCGATGACATTACAACGATGATACAAGTAGAGCTCCTATCGAAGCTGAGGTTTCAAACTCTATAAATCAAATTGGCTGAGCGATACAGAAGGCTGCCCAGATTCTCAAACCCCGGAATTCAATCAAAAGAGCAAAAGGTTAAAGAAGGGGAAAAAAGAACTGCGATCACCGTTCCTGTTACCTCGGATGAAGAAGAGAAGGCCGGGGACTGAAGTGCGCGGTGAACAGCGGCCCTCTGAGGAGCGAAAGACGAATGGGATCTGGCAATCCTGTTCATGAGAGGAAGAGCTGATCTAATACAACCCGCCATTGTTCACGGTGAGTAGAGCGGCTTGGATTGAAGAGACGAGGTGAGATTGAGAATGAAAAGGAGCGGGGTTATTTTTTTTTTGGAAAGCAACCTTCTACACTTCTACAGGTCTACTACAGAGAAGAGAATCGGCAGAGGGAAGAAAAGGGAAAGAGAGATGGACCGGGCCCTGCAATTGAACCGCGGTTATCCCGCAATCGGGCCATACATACGGTCCGACCTACTTCAAGAATAAGGAAAACTGGAAAAGTATAAAAAACTCAGTGAAGCTATCTAAACAACAAGAACAAAAATACATTAACGGTTCAACTAAAACTTTTAACTATTAAGTTAGTTGCTTTCTTGAAGAGAATAATTACTATAGCTTTTAGACTTTTAGTTGACGTCTTCCTTCCAAACAAGAGAAACAGCAGGAAGTGTTCAGCCCTTCATTCGTGAATGATTTCTGCAAGTCCATCGATCAGAGAATTCAGTCAGCACCCAAAACCTCAGAGTTGGAAGGCAGATGGCATCATGGAGGCATCATAGATGTGAAGGAGTCCCTGTAAAGGCTAGAACCTCCCATGAGATGATCGACATTTGAGCATCCTGACACCAGCAAGGCTTAGCTTAAGGTCACGACTCACCAACCGTCACACGCGACTGCATCCGAACTCGACTCTCGAGAAGTTGATATACTCCTTTGATGATCGAGAGATGGCCTTCAAAACTCATTTCTGCAGATGTCAAGGAAAGCTCACATCAGGGATTAAGATTATCCTAAGCACTGGAGGAAAAAAGCATGCAGCAAGTGCAGCTGCGAAGCCATTACAGAAGTTGTACTTGTAACTTTGGAAAGCAATATAATGTTATGAAGGTTCAAGGTTGATGAAGAAAATTACCTTGCACCGCCCTTCTTCTTCTCTACACTCCTCTTGATGAATACCTTCTTCTGGTTTGCACCTTGTCGCCTTTGTCTAGATTCATTCTCTTTCCGCTTGGTTAGCATTGAACTGACCAGCATTTCGGTCTTTGGTTCCGGAGCCATGCCCTTAGATTTCATTTCCTGAAGATAATGCAAAGCTTCGTCGAATCTTCTCTTTTGACACAACCAGTGCACCATTATCGAGTAAGACCGTTGATCAGGTCCCAGTCCCTTCTCCTCCATCTCCTTCCACAGCTCCACCACTTTCTCCTCGCAGTCCCATTTCGCATACAACCGCAATATCAGATTGTATGTATCCTGGTTAATGGCACAACCATTTCTTGTCATTCTCTCAAGAATCCTAGGAACTTCAACAGGCTCGTCCAACGACTTGAGCAAGTAATTGAAAGTTATATCGTTTGGGATGCAACTCCCCTTCTTCTCTTCCATCTCACTCAACAGCTCATAAACCTTCTCCATCCTCTGAATCTTGCACAAATGCTTGATCAGCGAGTTGTAAGTCGCCACATCTGGAGGACAAACGCCTTCTTCCTTCATTTCATGGAAAATTTCTAAAGCTTCCGGAATCCTCTTCTTGAAACAAAGAGCATCAATCACACAGTTGCATATGACTACGTCTGGTTTGCATTCATTCTTCCACATCGCTCTGTATAGCTTCAGCGCTGTACCTAGCTTCCCCTTGTTGGTTAAAGCTTTGATGAAAATTGCAAACGTGAACAAATCCGGCTTACAATTGGACGCGATAATGTCTTTCCAGAATCTCTTGGCTTCATGTACATTCCCCAGAACACACCAGCCATTGAGAACGATATTTAGAGTCTTTATGTCGGTGCGAAAATCGTTTCCCGTGGAGTGCAATAACGTTTCTGCAACTTCGACATGTTTATACCTACACAGAGACATCAGAAGCTGCTGCAAGGCGGGTAAATCATGGCCCAAACCTAATTCTCTCCTCTTATGGAAAAGTGCCACTGCATCGTCAACTTTATGTGCAGCTGCGTATCTATTGACCAATACCCTGTAGGTCTCCTCGCTCACGAATCCTTCTCTCTTGGACATTTCATCGAGCACTTTGTCTGCATCTCCAAACTGACGCATTTTGCAGAGTATATCAAGGATTTCGTTGCAGACGCTAGGCCTGACGGAGAGCGGGGAAATGCTGGAAACCCAGTTGAAGAATTTTAAAGCCAGTCTTGAATCGGAACGATTCATCCGAAGAACGTCAAGAACGAGCTGCTCCGTGGGTTTGGAGTCGAAGCATTGGGCGACCGCGAGCTCGAGCTTCTTCGTCGGGCCATCCCTGTGTGTCCTCAGGACGTTGTGGACTCGAGCTGCCATTCCAGAATCGCACTCCGATGGTTCCACGGGACTCTCATCATCCGGAGCCGTCAGGAGAACGCAAAAGCTTCTGAATGGAGAGCGACTAGACGGCAGAAGAAGTTCAGAGAATATCGTTGGGGATATCCGCTTGATGAACTTCAGCTGGGAAATGATTTTTTTCGCCGGTATGAACATGGTCGGAATCAAAACGTTGTCAGCTGTGCGCCGGCGCTACTTCTCCCTAGCACTCGTCCGGTGAGCCTGGCCGGCGAAGATCTCTGCAGTCTGCCGCGCTTTTCTCTTTCCTTTCCGACTTTCTTTGTGTCATTGTGTGTAGTGCCGCTCGAAACAGAGTTGGGCCTGAACTGCCTTCTTTTGGGCTTAAGGCCCTTTTCCGGACCAAAATGTTGACAGACGCTTCTATGGATTAAGTACCGATTAAGTCACTGAAGTCCGTCAGTTTACAACATCGGCCACTAAATTCCTGAAACAGTTAAGACATTGAACTCACTTTAAAAACACAAGAGTAATAAATAATAGTGATTTCTTCCATCTCAGGTTAATATCAGTTTTTTAATGTCGTGTTGCTGATGTGAAAGCCTTCAAGAAACACAGTTATCTATCTAAAATCGTAGATAACGAGATTTAGATAAGACGAGGCAACCACACTCTAACATCCACAACTAATTCAGGGTAATCCCCACTTTTGCTTCTATCTCAATCAATCAATCAACAACTTCTGTTAACCTTGCCACAAGTTTACACTAAAAAGAGCAGGTCAATGTTTGTCATGTCATTGATGAAAAGGATACAACAAAACTTACAAGAAACCAAGACCAAATTGGCAACTAGCTGAGGGGGTTTTCAATAGCTGTAAACCTTATGTCACTTAAACCAACCACTGATTACTGAATCGGTCATGCAATGCAATTTACTGATGAAAAGTCGCTTTCTTGGGTGATAATCAAACCAAACACATCTAGAAGGTTGCACAGGAACGGCTTACCTCATTAACAACAATAAGAAGCCCAAATGCATGATTATGATTACCACCATTTCATTAGTGGAGACATCATATTTTTAAGGCACCCCAAAGCTCTGTCAACTCCCTAATCATAGTTCTTGAGACTTCAAGTCTTTCACCTTTGTGTTGCAGTTATAGGTATTCACCTGATGAACACACCAAAGGTCAATTATTGAAACTCCTATAATTTTGTAGAAGAAGCAGTACAAAGAACTGTCCTTTTTGTATAAATACCTGCGAGTTCATAGCTGAAGGCTTCATTGACTCAATTCAGCGTTGTTCCTTTTGCTGGTCTCACCAGTAGTCTCCACAAGAACACGAACCGTTCTCAAAGTGGTGAAACCGATTATTATCCCTCAAGATAATCAACCTCCCAACAATCTTGGACATGAACTTGATGGCATTATGACAGTCTTCACAGACCCTTAAGTTCTTAATCACGCGAACCGGTCTCCCAACTGGGACAGTCAAAATCCCATACGCGACGGCCAACTTCTCACTATGATACTTTAGCATATGCTCCTTATCTTCTTCTTCCACATCATGCAGCACCAATTTTGTCAGAGAAACAAAGCCTTCCTGCTTCATTTTCTCTTCCATCTCTGCTAAGAACCCATATATCCTGTCCTTCTCTGGATGGCAAGTTTCCCCGACTCTGAAATTATGAATCTTGTTGTGCACTTCGAGCCAGCTGTAGCCTGGAAGTTTTTTGACCCCTTCGCTCTTCATTTTCTGTCTCATCATACGGACTTCAGGCCACCTTCCTAAAGTTGCATATAGATTTGAGAGGAGAACGTACATGCCGGAGTTATCGGGCTCCATTTTGAATACGGTCTTGGCAACTGTTTCACCAAGTTCAATATCGCCATGGACTCTGCTTGCACCAAGTAATGCACCCCAAGCTGCAGCATCTGGTTTGAAAGGCATGTTTCGTACCAAGTCCTGAGCTTCCTTCAGGCGCCCAGCTCGACCAAGGAGATCGATCATGCAAGTATAATGGACTGGATTAGGTGCGACTCCATATACTTTGGTCATAGAGTAGAAGCATTCGGTCCCCTTGTCAATTAAGCCAGCATGACCACAAGCAGACAGTACACCAACCTGAATACATAAAAGCTTTAAGTGGTTAGTCAATTTCCCGGAAGAAGACGAATGATCAAATTCAAAGATATCCAACATGAGAATTTCACATGCTTTAACAAAGAAAACGTTCAGAGAACAAATTTGCAGTTAATGAATAAACTTTTACCATGGTCGCCTCGTCTGGCCTGATACCCTCTATCTTCATTGATTCAAAAATCGATAAGGCTTCTTGTCCAAATCCGTGCCTTGCATAACCATGGATCATTGTGTTCCACGAGACCACATCTCTTTCTGCTATCTCACGAAATGCATCTCGTGCTTCATCTATGCTTCCACACTTGCAATACATTGCAAGAAGAGAATTCCCCACAAAACAACCAGTATGGTATCCAGCCTTCACCAACCGACCATGCACTTCTTTCCCCAACTCCAAAGCAGCAATATCAGAGCATGCAGCCAAAGCACAGGTAAATGAGGACCTATTCAACCTTTCTCCAACCCTTTCCATTTCCACGAAAAGTTGCAGAGCCTCTTCACTGAAACCATTCTGGGCATAGCCAGCAATGAGAGCAGACCATGATATTGAATCTCGTTGAGGCATCTCGTCAAACAGTTCCCTAGCACGAGCTATATCCCCACTCTGAGCATATCCTGTAATCATCGTGTTCCACGAGCTAGTATTTCTACAGTCCATTGCCACAAACAGTTCTCCGGCTAGCTCCATTTTCTTGCTCTTCACGTACCCAGCAATCATGGCGTTCCATGAAATCGAATTCTTCGTAGGCATTCTGTCGAAAACCGCTCTTGCTTCATTCAACAGGCCATTCTGGATGTATCCTGAAACCATTGCAGTCCATGTATACACATCTTTACTTGGAGACTGATCAAATAATCTCTGTGCTTCTTCCACTTGTCCATTCTGTGCATAACCAGTAATAACAGTATTCCAGGAAACCTCATCTTTCACAGGCATTTTGTCAAATAGCTTTCTCGCATCAACTAACCTCCTCCTTTTCACAAAACCCCCCATCAAACAGTTCCAGGAAACAGTCTCCCAGTCCACCTTTGCCTCGAACAATCTCCGCGCTTCATCTATGCGTCCATTTTGCACGTACGAAGAAAGCAACCCGTTCCAGGAAACTGCATTCTTAGTAGGCATCTTATCGAAAATACGCCTTGCCTCGTCAACAAAGCCATTCTGCGCATATCCAGACAATATGGTGTTCCAAGAAACAACATCCCTATCAGACATCTTCTCAAACAATTCCCTGGCTGCAGTAAGATTCCGATTCCTGACATACCCACTAAGCATGACATTCCAGGAGACCGAATCTCTTTCTGTCATTTTATCGAACATTTCCCGAGCAAGCCTGAACTTGTCATTCATGATATACCCTGAAATCATCGCGTTATATGAGACCGAGCTCCGACGAGGCATCGAGTTAAATACCCGTAAAGCGGAGTCGCAGTCCCCGCTGCGCATGTGGCTGGAGATGGCCACGTTCCATTCCAGAATGTCGGTGTCTCTTGTGTTTAAACGCAAGCCATTTCTGGATTGTTTGCGCTTCAAGTCCAATGCTTTCTTTGATGGGTAAGAGTCTGGAACGGCGGAAGGAGCCGTTCTTGTTGAAAAATGTTGAACTCCTCGGCTATTCTTACGCCAAGTTCTTGCATGTATCTTCATGACAGATGGGAAGCTGGAAAAATCTGGCTCGCATTTGGATGCTGTGATGCCTTTCCCGGATCTCTTGGCATCATGTACATTTCCAGAGACACGCCTGCCATCGGGAATGATGTTGTGGGTCATTATATCACAAGTCTCCTCGCTGATGAACCTCTCGGGCATTTCATCGAACACTTTGTCAGCATCTTGAAACTGCCTCATCTTGCCTAGAATGTAAAGGATTTCGTTGCAAACGGCAGGACAGATGGAGAGTCGGAAAGTGCTGGAAACCCAATTGAATAAATTTACAGCCATTCCCAAACGGGAATGATTCATCCAAAACACGTCAAGAACGAGTTGCTCCGCGGGGTAGGAGTCGAAGCAACGGGTGATGGCAAGTTCGAGCTTCTTCGCGGAGCCTTCCCTGTGTGTTCTAAGGACGTTATGCACTCGATTAGCCATTCCCGAATCGCCACTCTGATGGTTCCACTCGACTCTCACAATCCGGAGGCTTTGGGAGAAAGCAAACGACCCTGAATTTGAGAGTGAAGAGGCGGCAGAATAAGTTCAGATAGTGCCGTTGGAGATACCAGCTTGAAGATGTTTCGCTGTTCAATGCTTCTCCCCGCCGAATATGAACATGGTGGCCTGGTGGGATAAGTATTAATCACAGATTTGTCAGCCGATCAAGCCATCCAAACAAACAAAAGTACCCAGAGCGAATCGCGTGTCCTCACGGCTGAAATCAACTAGAGGCAAAACCCTGTCACTGCGGCGGAATCCAGGCACCAACCGGTTTACGGAATCAATCAATAACTCGCAGCATACGGGCTCGTTGTCAGCCGACCTACCGGCGGCGATTCCTACTACTATTCGTCTGGTAAGATTTGCCGGCGAAGATCTCAGCAGTCTGCCGCGCATTTCCCTTCCCTTTCCCGCAGGAAACAGAAGAAAAAGAACACGAAATAAAATACCCCCAAGGCCCAAACAAATAAAAGCGAAAGCCCGGACGGTTGGACCTCATCTGCTTTCTATTTTGGGCTTAAGGCCCATCTCCACAAATTCTCACGAAACTCTAATCCGGATCTCCACAAATTCTCCACAAATTCTCCACAAATTGCTAACAGATTAATGTGGACAATCATGCCATGGAGAGAGAGGACTTAATTTACTTGATTAATACACTTTTTTTTGTGCGAAAATTAATACACATTACTAGAGCTCAAAAGAAATTGGATGTGTTTTACTCGATAATATTGATAATCAAGCGTCCAGGTGGAAGCCACTGCTCTTGCCGTCGACGACGACGGACATCAAGCCGGCCGTCACATTCGCCGTGCAACTCCCCTCGCCACCAACTGTGCAACCCGTGAAGCTCTTGAGCAGCCCACAAATTACAACAACAACGGCGGCGAGGAGCAGGACCAATTCAGCACTGTAGAGCACAACCAGCGCAAACAGGTAAGCGACCGTCACGAATCTCCCGCGCCACACGACCCGCGGACGGCTGCTGTAGTACCGCTTCACGGCTCCGTAAGCAGTACCTACATCGTCCCCGCCGCCGCATACTACAGTTTTGTTCCCGCCCGGTGGCGGCGATGAGGTCCAGAAAAACCTCATCAGGTCACCGAGCTGGCCGCTGGTGACGGACTTCCCCGCCGGTGGTGATGGATCGTCATCTCCGACGACCGTTAATCCCACGACGCCGGTTTTGATCAGCAAGTCGACATCCCGGGGGGAGCGCGCGACCGTGTGGAGGAAATGGATGTACTGCGCGAGGAGGGAGGGGCGGTGTTTGTTGTCGGCCGGCGTGATGACGGCGGCGGCGGCGGCTTCGTAGGCCAAGAGGTTTTTCGTCACCACGTTGGTGTAAGGGTGCCACAGAAAAGCTGGCACGGTGATCGTCTGGGCTTCCTCGTTGAACTCGACCGTGGGCTTGTCGCCTCCTCCTGTCGTCTTGGGCTTGAACGAAAGCCCAATTCCGTGCAGTTGAGCCGCAGTTGGGTTCGACCTGGATTTGTGGCTAGGCGTGCCGGGGATGAAGTAGTCGAGTAACCCAAAGCTTGACCCCCTCCCGGCCGCGAGCAGAACGCCGGTTACTTTTCTCAGTGGCGGAGGCAGGATTCGAAACTACCCCTGTCCTCTTTTCATAATATAAATATATAAATATTTAATTAATAAATATTTAATAAATAAAATTAAAACCAATTATATCCAAATAATTCATTCACATATAAAAAATAATCCACTAATAAAATCACTGTTTTCATAAGCAACCACGACGGAATTTCATATTGTGAAAAAAACACAAAACATTTGTTGTCTACAATGTTAAATATGTCTCTTTTAATGTATCACACTAAACAATCATTAGCAAACTAGTCGCCAATTCGACTTCAAAACTTGTTCTTAATATAATTCAAAGCTGAAAATGTTCTTTCTGCACTTATAGTTGCAAATTGGTAGAATCAAAACTAGTGGAATTGTCATTGTCGCTGAAAAATTTCAGGATTGTTGGGAAAAATGAATAGACATAAGGAGAAAAATGATTTTATTAGGTCTTTATTGCAATTAAAAGTTCGTTTATAGTATAATAAATTAAGTTTATATAAGTTTATGAACCACTAATAAGTTGTGTTGTACTGATAAAATACTATAATACCACCTTTAATTATTTGTTTCATCATCAATATAAATATATATGGGTATTTTTTTCCACTCCGAAATTTGCCCCTGTCCCGTGACAAGGGCTAATGCCCCTGCCTCCGCCTATGACTTTTCTAATCCCTGAAAAATACAGAAATGGTCATACTTCGATTTCATTAGTATTTAGTGGGCGTGACTGATAATAAGAGAAAACGGTAAGAAATCCTGATGATTCGTTGACCAACTTAATTTGTGGTTAGTTGGTATGTGATATAAAATTATAATTGAGCATCTCTTAAAAATTTGGAATACTCTTTACAATCATCGCTTTTGGTGATTTCGTAGACAAGCCAAAGCACAAGAAAAGTTATTGATTGTGCTTTCGTTTGAAGAGGCGTGTTAGTATGTGGTATATAAGATGCATAATTGAATCTATCTCAACAACTCGAGTTATTGAGATCAACTCGTTCTAACACCTCGTTGGAAAAAGTTCAATAATGAATTTTACACTATAAACTATCACACTCCCCTTAAACTAAACCCAACTCATATATGAGTCGAAGTTTGTACCGGTATGACTAAGTATAAAAACTTTAATATCATGTGTGAAACAAATTGATCTCAACATCTAGAATTACTGGCAAATGTTAAAATTGTGAATCACACACGATTTACTAATAAAAAACTACCTAATTCAAACCACCAAGCTAAAATATATGCTTACCTAACACACAGAAATTGCGTACAATCTTGCGGCCGAATCCGACGTGTCCATCTTCTACGGGAACAGCAATACTAAGGTTATGTACTGAATCCTGTTCGTGATCAATTCCCAGCGAGCCGCCGCCATCGTAGTCGCCGGCGGTAATCCACCGATACAAATGCGCCAACAAATGCGCTGCGGGAAGGGGGGAGTTGCTAATTGGTGCTGCTCGAGTCAAACATTCCAAAACAAAATAGGAAATTAATGTCGAAATTTATAAATAAAATCATGAAGTTTAACAATGTAAACAAAAAAGAAACAAACATTTATTATTATTATTTACTGAGTTGGACGGGGGAGAGGAAAGTGCAGAGGGAGTGGAGGTGGTCGGCGACCAATCGACGGACATCGGGATGGAACGGCGCGACCGCCTCGGCGAGGATCGAGATGGGGATTTGATTCTCGAGCAATACGGCGTCGTGTAGGACTGTGGAAAGCAGATCCAGCTGAAGGAAGTTTGCCGGCCGGGGTTGATGGTCATCGCCGGCAGGGGCCCGCAGCAACCCGACGAAGTCGCGGAGGACCAACGACAACTTCCTCGCCAGGGTCAACTTCTATCAGGGAAAAGCTCTGCTTTTCAATCAGAGAAGAAGAAGGAGGATTCGACCGTTGCTCAACACGACAACGTTTCCACGAAGGTCTCGGCTGTTGTTCACAACGACGCCGTTCCCGCGAAGACACTTAGGAGCTGGAGTGATGTCGTATCTGGCAAAGTGCACTTTACTCCTCAAAGTTGTTAATTTCACTTGTTTCCACTTTAAGCAATGTACTTTCTTAAGCCACAAGCTTTGTCTTCTTCCTCGTTCTGTCTGTACTGAACATCCAGCTATATAAGCTGAAGTATCAATGAGAAACAACTAAGCTCTTTTCCTCTCCAACCCTAAATGGTTGTTAACTTCTTCCTCGAATCGTGGAAGGAAAACCTGTTGGTCCCTGCCGATTCGAGAACACGGATGGGGAGCTCGTCGCAGAGGAAGGAGAGGAGGAAGAGGCCGTCGACGGCGATTGCGCATTCCAGCTCCGGGGAACCAAGGTCCGCGGCAGCGGTGGCGCCGTCGTAGCAGGCTCGGATGCGTGGCAGTAGGGGGCGGAGTTGTCGGAGGAAAGAGTGCAAGTCCGGGATGTTGAATCTCTGTAAACCGGATTTCGCGGCCGCCAGCTTGACGCCCTCCATCCTGTACAGCTCGGGATGGAAATGGTGGTAGAGCCCCATTCCGACCAGACGTGGGATGAAAGCAGGTTTCACGCCGGCGTCGGTTTTCATGGATTCCGGCACCCGGGGGATGGTGGTCATATTCTCCGTCGCTGATCTGCTCATCCTGTTTTTTTCTTTCCCCCCCTGTCTTTTAGTGTTCCATGAATTACAGGGTAAATTCAAAACAAAGACTAGAGAATCAGAATATGGCTTCAACAGCTATTATCAATTACAGGGTTACAGCATAGCTAAACCCAAGGGGGACAACAGCTGGCCGCCGGGATTGTTTTAAGGAAATTAAAGAGACGGTAGCGCAACTTGCTAGCCAGAGTGCTCCTTCCTAAATACTACTAAACAAAGACTAGCTAAACAGTCGGAATTCTAAATTCAGGTCACCGCCTAATTACTAAACCCATGTTGACAATATGATAATCATAATTATTACTACTGTCTTACTGTTAATTCGCGTATAGCAACAGCCACGCTTACGACTTGGGCGATTGAGGTTTGATTTCCCGTTAAATTAAGCTCGCTCTGGGCAAGAAGAAGAGGGGAAGATCGAGTGGGCGCAAAAATGGCAGGTTGTGGAGATGAGTCCATCCTAAAATCTCCAGTAATGGGGAGAGAGTGGGCGAAACAGATGAAAGAGCAGCTAGCAGATCTCGAACCTTACCAACTGGTACCGTCAATTTTCCCGGTGCCGGAATTCTTCAGAGTATGGGATCCCAAATCCTACAGTCCACAGCTCGTGGATCTGGGACCCACTCACCATTCCAGCTCCAGGCCACGGCTCTGGGAATCGGACGCCGTCAAGCGCCGGTTCTTAGAACAAGGCCAGAGGCGGCGGCGCCGGTTCAACTCCCCGGCGGGAGGCAACACCGACGACGACGACGACTTGCGTAACTTCACCGACCAAGTGGTTTCCCCCTTGCTGCCAGCAATCAGAGCGCAGTACGATTCCCACCTCGCCGTCCTCGATTCAACTCTGGCGTCTTCGCTGGCGCTCGATACCCTCTTCTTGGTCGAGCTGCTCCTCCGGGGTTCTTGTGACGACGACGACGATGATGAAGCGGCGGCTGATTGCGCTTCCATCCTGATGAATGACGCGGTGATGCTGGAGAATCAGATCCCTCTGTTTCTGCTGCAAGAGCCCTTATCCGCGCTGCTGCAGGGTCGCCATTCAGGCAGCGAGTCCGGGCTTTTTGACGAGCAGTTGGAGCGCGTTTACCACCGGCTTTCTCCCCTCCAATTCTTGGGCTCACCTAATCATAATCATCCTCGGCATTTGTTGGAATACCTCTACTTTCAGATCGTGGGTTTTGGTGTTCACGACCAGGAGGAAGATTCTTCAACTTCTAATACCACCACCGCCGCAAGCTTCCTCCAAATATTGGAAATGGCTCCCCCTGGTGTGCTGAAGAAAGTACCCAGCAGTACTGCAATTGAGTTCGACATATTGGATCTGCTCTCCGATGCTTTCCAAGCAGCAGGTAACATTCCGATCGCCATCTTAAGCTAGCCCTGAATTCGGATTTCTTGCTGCCGACTAAATTGATGGATTAGGTGCAAAAATTCTTAAGCGCGCCGGGATGTATTGGTTGGCCTGGATCATGTTGGAAGTAATTAGATTCCTAAGAAGAATCCTGCTAGATGTAGAGGCTTCGGTTCCCGCTGCTTCGCTCCTTGCTCAACATATAGACCTGACAATACTCCCTGCCGACGGCGGCAGCAGTTTAGGAGCGATGGTCAGCTTCGACGAACAGAAGAGAACCCTCCGGGTTCCGGTGCTCACGCTGAAACCCAACTGCGGGACGCTGCTTAGGAACCTGGTGGCGTACGAATACATGACGAGATCCGACGACGCCCGCGTCCTGATCGGCTACTTGAAGCTGATCGCAGGGCTGACAAAAACGGTGGAGGACATGAGCTTGCTCAGGCGGGCTCGTGTAATTGACGCGGAAGGCAGCGACCTCAGTGCTTTGAAGCTCTTCTCCTCCCAAATCCCGCCGGTCTTCCTCACCATGATCAAATTGCACGGCCTGGCGCATGAGTCGGCGATGGAGGAGGTGAAGGATGAGGCAGAGGAGCTGGAGGCTGCGATGAACGAGGTGAAGGCGGCAGCAACGGAGACGGGTGCGAAACTGGAGGCAATGGTGGCTGCCAAAGACGCGGCAGCGGCGGGGAGGACGGCCCTAGATTCACAAATCCAGGCTCTGAACCACTGCTATGACCGCGAGCCCGAGATTGTTGCTCTGAAGCGCAAGATCCGGCGGATGGAATTCGCCTTCAAGATTGTAGTGGTGGCATTTCTAATCGACGTTGCAGGTTTATGTGTCTATGCTATTACAGAGGCGGTGTACAAATATGTGACGTTGGATTGCCTGTACCAATGGCCGTGCTGTCCTCAAGGCCTCTTCTCGGCCCTCATCACACTGGTCACCGGCGGCTTTATTCTGAATCTAGTCCGGGCTCTTTTGTGATAAAGCTTAATTCCTGCTCCCAACAAGTCTATTCCCCTGTTCTTCAAATCCTCTGTTTTGTTCTGTTTAGATTTACAGGGGAAATACAGCAATATATAGTCAAGCTAGAACTCTTGTCACTCCGGCGGAATCTAGTCGCTAACCTGTTTACGGCATCAAAAACCTCGCAGCATCAGCTCTCTTTGTCAATCGAGAGAGCCAGCGGCAATTCCTACCGGACTGCCGGTGAAGAACTCCGCAGTTTTACCGCGGAATTTCCCTTCCCTTTTTCTCGAAACAGTGTGCGAAGAACACGAAATAAAATATCCCACAGACCCAGACTAACAATGGCTAAAACCATGAGGATTGGGCCTGAACTTTGTTTATATCTTTTGGGCTTAAAGCCCTTTTAGTGCTCTTCGCCTATTATGCTTCCTGTTGTAACCTGTCATATCGAAATCCTCCATACAACATATGAACATATCATGAGTTTCATACACTGAGCTTAATGAAGTATGGAGTCTAAAGCTGCTCTTCGATATCTTAGACTCTGCTCAAAATTGATATCCAACTGGTATTATGTCACTGTAGTTCATTCATTTCGCCTTCGTTTCTTATCATTCGACTTAGTCGGTATTGGACCGAAGAGACACAAGCGTAGATCGCCTTGAAGCACTCGTGGGTGTATGTGGCTCTTGTACAAATCCCAGAACTCTTCTCTGCCAAATGATGTGAATAGGTAAGTGAGAGAGAGAACCGAGTTCATAAAGCGAGAAAGCACAAGTCTACATAAGGCAAAGGCAGTCCAGTTGTTTTCTGAGACTGACCTCACTTGTGGAAGTGAGAGCAAGGAATAACCCTTCACATCTTGTTGCAAATCCACCACGACGACTTTCAATCGCGAGAGCCCCATTGCTTCAATGTCAATCAATTTCTTTATCCTTGCAAGTTCCAATCAAAATCAATTACCGGAGTACACATAAATGATCAAACTTTCAAGTCAGACCATGCAAAACATGATGGTATGACTTCAAGCCTAAACATAGAGGGGTAAAGTGAAAAGGGATGTGAAAGTGCATGATCAGGCAGTGGTTATATTGAATTACTCACCTGCTTGGTGTACCACTAGCAAAATTAACACGGCTCTTTAAGATTGTGACCTGCATTAAAGCACAACCGAAGTTAAGAAATGGATGCAACTAATCAAAAGAGCCTATGATGTCTGGTGTCAGAAGGCCGTAATTGAACATGTAGCGATGGAATCCAGTATAAGAACCATGGAACAGCATCATATAATTAAAAAGCTAAGTGCTGTTGTTACATTATTACATCAATCCTAGATTCAAAGAAGAAGAACAATCTACACTTCTTTAGGGATCAGACTGACGTGCAAATTATACAATCAGCAGAGCAGATGCTTCTGACAAAGTATCGATTTTTCTCATCATCTCCCTCGAACCATTTTGAAATTTCTAGTAATTGAGTCTAGAACAATAGCCAAGTACCATCCCTGACATATAAGTAAGAGTTTAGAGGGGAAAACAAAAATAGAAAGTTCAAGATAAAATAACAAGACTAACACGCTTTCTAAGGGATCAGACTGACGTGCAAAAAAGTGTAATCAGCAGAGCATAAGCTTCAGACAGATAAACGATTTTTCTCATCATCTCCCGTGAACCATAATGAAAAATCTAGCCAATGATATTCAGAATAAAAGCACACACAACAATTTACTATCAATCACCTAGAAGTGGAAGCAGGACATGAATCAGAAAGCCAGGTCTTGGGTAAGTGAATTGGGATCAGACTGACGTGCAAATAACATATTCGGCACAGCTAGTAGCCTTTGATCTTTATAACTTATCATCATTTCCCAATGCCACAGCCAGTGATTCTACAATACTAGCACAACGGCAATGTACAATTAGACACCTAGAAGTGGAAGAAGGAAAAGAATCAGAAAGACTACTCTCGTGTATGAATTGGGATCAGACTGACGTGCAAATAACATACTCAGCACTGCTAGTAGCCTCTGATCTTTATACTTATCATCATATCCCAATGTCACAGCCAGTAATAGTAACAATATACAACTAACAAATCGAGACAGCCTCACGAAAAATAATGCGACAGTAACTAGGAACAAAAGACGCAAGTGGAATATGCAAAGTCACAACCAGGCGAAGTCCAACAATGATGAAAGACTCTGGCGGTAAGTCATGCAAAGAAGCAAATGCACAAGATATAATCAGTAATGACAAGAAAACTGAAATCCAACAATCAAAAAGCCTGTTCCGTAATTGATAAAATAAAAATGGGATCAGACTGACGTGCAAATAAACAAATTCAGCACTGCTGGTGCCTCTGATCTTTATATCTCATCATCATATCCCAGTGTCACAGCAGATCAATAGTAACAGCAAATGAAGAACAGACCTAAAAACAAATAAAGTAACGGTCTTTATAACTTTCACCAAGATAAGATCAATGAAAGAAGAAGAATCACCTGCTCCTCGACTTTCATGTGCTTCGAGAACAGCTTGGCGGCATGGCATTCTTTCGTTAGCAACCGCACACCCCTATCAGAAGGTGATATGACATGCTTTGTTAATCATATGAAGACCATTCATATAATCAAGAAAGAACCCTCCAAAAGACCAAACAATAATGAAACGAACAGGAGTTGCAGCATCTTAATATAAATGTTCATTTCAGCCATCACATCTACCTTAGAAGATCTATTGCTCTCAATGCAGACGCAGAAATGAAAAGAACAGCAGGATTCCCCGCTTCAATCTTGCCATCCACAAGCTTCCCGTCACAGAGTTCTGCTTTCCATGACTTGCCGAACGCATCCTTCATACCTTTCCCTAGAGCCTCAACACCATGCGGCAGTTCTTCAGATAACTCCATAAAGCAGTCCTCTGTCAATCGAGAAATCCAAACATAGTTAAAACCCCATTTCCCACATTTTCGAACTTCTGCCAATCACATCAACTAATCCAAACCCTACAACAGAATGTAATGGTTTACCGTTAATCGATTCCAGCTCGAGAGACGAAAGCTGAATGCCATTAGCCGACTGGAACTCGCTCAGAAAGAAATCAAGCGGCCGGGGAGCGGTGGAAGGAACCTCGTCGTCGTTGGGTAGTTGTTGTTCTTCGACTATGTCAGCGGGAATGTCTTGCTGCTGCCGTTTATTCGTCTTCTTCTTCTTCTTCTGGATTTTCTTTGCACTGCTGTCATGGCTGCTTCTCTTCTTTCTGATGCCAAGCTTATTAGGGTTCCTCCGAGACTTGGAGGGTTTGCCGGCTTTAACGGTTCCCATATCTCTCCCCTGCTTGCTAGTCTCAGCTACAACGGCGACCTCTTTTATTTACTGGGAATACGGCGGCGGCGACCTCTTCGCGCAATTGAGTGGGTTTATATACTAGCTATTAGGTTTACCGTTTGTGAATTTTTTAAGGAATAAAAGCTAGTTAAGTCACTATACTATAAAATGTTAACGAATAAGTTCCTCGATAAGTTTTTCTAAGCATTTAAATCCTCATACTATTGCATTTTTAACAAAACAATCATTTTGCTTATTTTGCCTTTAGTTTTATTCCGTATATTTTAGATTTTTTTTTGACAAAAGATAATTATGTATTGATCAAGAAAATGTAGTTACATTCTGGAAACCAACCAGGCCCGGAAATCAAAAGAACGACTCATAGTCGGGTACAAAGAGAGGGCTTTCCTAGCCACCAAATGGGTTACCCTATTGCTACGCCGACCTACAAATCTAACACTAAACCCAGGATTACTGGCAAAAATTTGAATGAGTTCCTCCAGAACAGCACCTAAGCGACTATCTTGAGCCGCCCTATGGTTGATTTTATCAATGATAATTTTCGCATACCCTTCAAAGGTAATGTCCGCCCAGCCAAGCGATTGACACCACAGAACAGCTTCACGCAGCGTAACCGATTCCACTACCAAGGGGTCATCAAACCACGAAAACTGCACACCCTTCACCATCAAAACCTCCCGATCCAGGGTGAGAAGAACCAAACCTCCAGCCGAGTGCGAACCACTCCGGACAGCCCCATCCCACATGCACACAGGACACAGCCCCATCCCCCCGACCAGGCTCATGATGGATGTGTTCAGTCTGTACACGTAGGGGGGCTTTATTCAGTAGATTTTAGATTGAAGGGGTTAAAGTGGGGGAAAGAGAGAAAGAGTTGCGATGAATGTTACAGGAAAAATTGCCGTGTCAAATTTTACATATTCGCTTCTTTTGCTTTGGGTTTAAACTATTTCTGAACTTATTTATACTCTTTCAATGTTGTCAGAAGAGTATACAAAATTCTTAGGTTCATTTGTGTCATTATTCATCTCAAGTTCATCTAGTCAACAATGATGTTTCTTACGCTCCCCCTTTAAAATAAATTTTAACTTTTCTCCTCTATTCTAATTTTATGTCTAAACCTCAACGCAAATATCTCAATAATCTATTATGAGGAAAAATCCAAAAGGTTAACATAACTAAACATTCATTTTCTTCTTTAACATCTTTTTTTTATTATACAAAAATATTTTTCCTTTGATTTCTCTCTTTTTCCTTTACCGGGAAGAAGAGAAAGAAGAACAAGAAAAATTTCATGAACATATTTTGATTCACTGGGAGTTTTATTCCTCGATTTATTTCTTTTAAATCTTACCATCCCTCTCGTAATTTTCTTTTCCAAAGAGAGGGAGGAGGTGTTATTATCTTTGAATTAATAGGGTGGCTTTGTCATAATTATCAATGGCATTATCGTTTCCAATTAGTACTGTAATTTTCTCAATTTTCTTCTGGTCGTCCCTTTTGCTGGGTTGCTTTGGCGATGGGGCTAACAAGGATCCCTCCAAAAGTGCACCTGGTTGTGACAATCCTTACAAATTGGTACTTAATCTTTTCAAGCTTTGCATCTATGTCCCCCAATTTCTGATCTTTCTGACCTAATTCTTAGGTTGAAGTTTGTGAATCAGGGAGGAATGTGGTGCATAATTGATGGTAATTGTGAAGCTGCAACCAACTGGGTCAATCACTCTTATTTCTTAGTTTCATCTCTAGTAGAAAACGTATGGTTAGGGTTGAATGGTTAATGACATTTGTGCTCATTGGATTGGTTTGCAATCTGATCGAACTATGTTCACACGTGAGGGATGTTGATTTAAAATCCAACAATAATCGAGTTCTTCGAATGGAGTTAATGATGCGTGAATTTCTCGTAGTTAAGTTTGGTACTTTCTTATGGTATGAAGGAAAAATCTAAAATTGTTAGGAGGATCATGATATAGACATGTCTGTAACAAATTAACAAATTGTTACGATAAAATGCATGATCAAAATGACATGTGGATGTTCAAAACTACGGAAGCATTTGAATCTTATAACATTGTTTTCTGTGCTACACTTTTTGTATGCATTTTTTTAATCTAGTTCTTATATCAATATTTTGGATTAAATTTCCAGGTAAAGGTTGATAACTGGGTTAATGGTGTCGCCGGTGAAACTTACACCGGTGTTACTGCAAGATTCGGTGCAATACTACCCCTTGAGGTGGATAAAAGTGTCAAATTATCTGCTATTGTGGCAAACCCATTGACATGTTGCTCTACTCCATCTACAAAGGTGTGAAAATTTATTATGCATACCAATTAATTGTTACAGCGCATTTTGTCATTAAAATTCACACTCATACTGACATAACATAAGATTTGATCGCACAATACATAACATTTTTCACCAGTGTTATTTATTAGTAAATTGTCTCAGAAGTGTAAGTGATCACACTATAATTTTCTTTGTAGTTATCTAACTCAATTGCCCTAGTTGCTCGTGGAGATTGTTCTTTCGAGGCAAAGGCAAATCTTGCACAGTCAAATGGTGCAAAAGCTTTGTTAGTGATAAACGACGATGAAGGTTGGAATTTTTGTAATTAATAATCTTGAAATATTATATTAACACAAGCTTGAAAAATCATATCATCAAACAAATAACTTAGTTTTGGTTATCTTTGTCACATATTAAATTTAAACCCCTTATAATCAAGGGACTATCGAGATGGGTTGTGACGATGATACCCCTGCTACGAACATTACCATTCCTATTGTGATGGTTCCCAAGTCAACTGGTGAAAGTTTCAGGAAAGCATTGCAAGAGGGCCACAAAGGTGATTAGGGCTTTTTGTTATGTGTCCACCCCAACCCAAATTCTCCATTCATATGGCAATTTTGGTCATTATGTAATTTTATCTCAATGAGATTTCATGTTTGCTTTGCAGTGGAAATTGGATTGTGGGCACCCGATCGTCCAGTCGTGTCTTTCTCGGTTGCATTCTTATGGTTGATGGCAGTATCGACGGTTGCTACTGCCTCACTTTGGCCAGAAATAGCTAAAACAAAGGATTCAGAGCCGCGTTACGACGATTTTTCTCCAAAGGTACGATCGCTCAATTAAGAATCCATCAAAATTGATAAGAGCGTTAGAGGTAGGATTGAGTATTGACCCATGCTTAATTAGTAAGTACAATTTGGATGACTCACATTTCACTATGAGAATTCATGTTATTACCCCCCACCCCAATTCGATAGTGCAATTCTTCTAAAGCTCCTCTCATTTTGATGATGAATATGTTATACACACAACCTAGTGAATGAATCGTCTAAGATTGATCAACCAAGTAGAGTTGAGCGTAAAAGAAGACTTTCTAGCATACAATGATCATGATGAACATTCTTCGATGATCATATCATGTAAAGAGTTTTGTAGCAAACAAAGAGGCAGAGAGCAAGAGAGAAAGAAAATATAGAGCGAGCAAACTCATAAAATATGTGAACCGTGTTGTTTCATTCACACGGAACAAAAGTTGCCCATTAGGAGGGGGAAAAGCGTACTTTCATAACTTCAACCTAATACATTTGCTTTCGGGTCATGAGAGGAGAGTGATAAAAACTTTCAGCCTTCTTAGTCACCCTTCTTCCAAATCTCGAACGATTTTCATGTGCATACTGATCAATGTTAGTTAATTCAACTCAGAGTGTATTTACGTACCCCACTAAACAATAATTACCTATCTCTTAACATTGCATGTCTTTGCCATTAGAGTGCTTCCGATGGTGCAACGAGTAAAGAGAACACCGAGGAGATCATTAACATCGATGTGAAGAGTGCAATAATATTTGTGATTAGCGCATCCACGTTTTTGGTTCTACTCTTCTTCTTCATGTCGAGCTGGTTTGTGTGGCTCTTAATTGTACTCTTCTGCATCGGTGGCGTTGAGGTAAACCGTTGATTTTTTTTTACATTCAAGAAATGGGTTGGAATTAGCTTTTATTTTACCCACTATATTTTTTGTTCAATATACTATGTATTTTATATTTTTTTCCTTTGTACTATTCTTTTGTAGGGTATGCATACCCTTATAGTAACTCTCATCTCAAGGTACCCCGAAATTCGATATGCTTCTTTTTGAAATGCACATATAATCGATTAAATTCAGGATTCAAATATGGGTACACAAATTTGTTACCCTCACAAAAAATTCTAATTAATATCAGATAACATTTAAAAAAGCAGCCGACAATAAATATATAATCTAATGTATGAACATATTTGTTAAGAATTATGGCATACAGACATACAAAAGAAACAAATATCGTCAATTCTTTCGGATACAAAAAAGAAACTATTGTCTAATGTTGTTTTTTCACTTTGATGCAACCATTATCAACTCCTTTAGTATTTTATTTGTTTTTTTTATATTTGCACTTAATTGGTTTCTGATTATTGGTGATGAATTGAGCAGGGGCTGCACATGTCAAAAGAAAGTGACCTTACCCTATTTTGGGGAAACGACCATAGTTTCCCTAATCGTGCTCATCTTTTGCTTAGCATTTGCTATTGCTTGGGCTATCACTCGAAAGGCGTCATTTTCATGGATTGGTCAAGATGTTCTTGTGAGTCTCCTTGGGATTACGTATAATATAACACTAACATGAAAGCAATTATGATTATTCATCATAAATAACGCAACTTTGTTCTAATATTTGCTTTGTTATTAGGGCATTTGCTTGATGATATCAATTCTGCAAGTGGCACGGTTGCCTAATATTAAGGTAGCACGAGATTTATATATATATATTGTTATGTTGCTCGCAATATGTTACAATTTTGTTATATAGGTTCTCACTGTTATTTGATATTAATCCAGGTTGCTACCGTGCTCCTCTGTTGTGCATTCGTTTATGACATCTTTTGGGTGTTCCTATCACCCATTATATTTCATCAGAGCGTGATGATCGCTGTAAGTACTATCTGGAATTTTTTGTATCTCTGCAACGTGAATTGTTGAGCTGATAATAATGGATTTTCATGTTTTTTTTATGCACGTAGCCTCTTTCGAATAAAATTTCACTTATACTAGTTATTAATGACATGTAGGTTGCTAAAGGAAACAATAGCGGTGGAGAATCGATTCCCATGCTTCTGAGATTTCCTCGATTGACTGATCCGTGGGGTGGCTATGATATGATTGGATTTGGTGACATCCTTTTCCCCGGATTGCTTGTGGGTTTTTCTCTAAGGTAATTTCTAAAAGTCGGGTCCTTTGTATCATATTATAATATTTTTTTCCCGAGCAAAAATAACATTTTTGGTACTTGCTTATCTCGTATCTCACATTATGTTTGTGCCATACTGTTACGAAAAAATTATACACTAATCAGATTCGACAAAGAAAACAAAAAGAGCTGGGCAGGTGGATATTTCATCTGGTTGATGGTTGGCTATGCATTTGGTAGAGCATCTTCACAAATCACAACACTAATTTACTAACTTCCCATTCCATCAATCATTTTCTTTTTAATTCTTAATACTTATCACATCCTATTTTTTGTTCCCTTTTTTAGGCCTCTTTTTCACATACCTCGGCTTATATCTAATGCATGGGCATGGCCAACCGGCACTACTATACTTGGTTCCTTGCACATTAGGTAACACCAATATACTTTGCCAAAATCATATATATATATTTCCACGTTTTTGTAGTGATTGAACCATTTGTATTAATAATGGTATAAGATTTGTAATTGAACTCTCCAATAACTCGAGTTATTCAGTTAGTTGATTCTTAATATGATATTAAAACTAATTTGACCTAATTAAATCTCTCTCAATAACTCAAATTATTATGACCAATTGGTTCTTTATGTTTTACATGTTGTCGTTTTTCCTATAGGGGTTTGCGTGGTGTTGGGGCTAATAAGAGGTGAGTTGAAAGACTTGTGGAATCATGGGTCTAGCTCTACCCCAGCGGCTTCTCTTGGAGGTGCATGAATGAAGGTGTAAATTAATCAAACGTGAGCTCGGTTTTTTTTGGACATAATGTGAATCCTAATGTAAGATTAGCCACTTAAGTAATCTTATAGGGGTGTTTTTGGGCTCTTGTAAGTCTATAGTGGTGACATTCCTTTTTAGCATACAATTTTTTTGTGCTTTTTTGTGTGTATACATACATATTTAGTATTATCAAACAAAACAACAACAACAAAAAGAGGAATAGGATGGTAAAATTGATAGACAATAATGAAGTGCTATATTATAAAAATATATAGCACCACAAGTTGTACATGTAAGTGCTCATATTATATAGGTGTGATGATGTTCCGTCAGTAGATATACATCCGCACACATTCGTGGTTTATCTTGCTAACAAAGTTACTTCATTTCGAAGAAAATACACGTGTGTTGACAGAGTTACTTCATTTCAAAGAAGACGAACTTGAACTCCTATGAATATCGGGAAAAAAAACTCATAACTAGGAACGGTTACCGTTATTATGGTAATAGTACCACTAAGAGGGCAACATAAAAATAACAGCGCCGCCAAAACACAAACCGCGATAACCTCCCGAATATGAACCCACGCTTTTACCATCTACACCGATACCATTTTCACTAAAAAAAAAAATCAATTTAATTTAATATGTTACCTAATTAAGTTTTCTTTTCTGTGTATAGTTATTTAGCACTGATAGCAATTCAACATGTCTTTTGGTGCAGTCACTTGGATCCACCTGAACTGGCCTTTTCCATTCTAGCAACCCGTGACTAATAGTTAACTCGTAATTAGTAGATCTAAAACATGACAACCTAATATTTGGCCAAAATTCACAAAAATATAGTTGTCAAAAAATTTGCTCATTATTCTGTCACCCACATGCATCTTCCTATATAGACCCGTGAACCCACAGTGATCTACATTACAGAAACTTAACATGCATTACTCCTATATATACAAACAACAAATCAAACACTCACACTACAACTAAAACCCAACACTAATCACCATTCTCCTCCTTAATCCTCCCCAGTAATCACGCAATTAAGAATGGGCAGATCAGGTTTAGTCGATCACCGAGGGCTGGTCCTAGCCACCGCGGCTCTGGCTCTGCTGCTGCTGGTGGCTGGGATCCAGGTCTCGTCCGCTCAGTCGACGATCTGCAAAATGCCGGTTGCTGGGCTGACGGCTTGCAAGCCGGCCGTGACGCCGCCTAAGCCGAGCCGCCCGACGCCGGCGTGCTGCGCGGCTCTTTCGAAAGCCGACATGAAGTGTCTCTGCTCGTTCAAGAACTCGCCGGTGCTGCCTTCTCTCGGGATCGACCCCAAGCTCGCCTTCAAGCTCCCCGCCAAGTGCAAGCTTTCCAAGTCTCCCCCTTGTTAATTAATCTGATGATCTAAGTCTATAGAGGACAACGGTGATTAACTTGATCTCCGTGATTATGATTATTAAGTAGTGCTCTTAATTTCCACTCTCATGGGTTATTAACTTGTGCTTCAGTTCTGTGTTGTTTGTGTGGTGTGGTTTATCTTTCTTGAAGGCTTTTATGATGTATGTGTTGGTGTCATGTGTGGGTGAATTTACATATGGACGACGGATTTCATATACAAATTCGGTATAATGAGCGTAAACATATACTTTATTTGTCATTTTTATTGGGTTTTAGTCACCTTGTCTAGATAAAATTGTAGTATTACTAAACCGATATTAACCATAACAAAAGAGGTATTCGAAACTCTGAATATAACTTGTATGTACGGTCAACTCTATCTAACTACACATTCGATACAAAACAAATATGTTACGCGCGTGAGTCAATTATGACCAGCTCGAAAGTCGCTCAGACTTGTAGTCCGTGTAACATTCTCTTTTACTATGGTAGTAGAACTGTATCGTGTCGATTTTCATGCTATCCAATCTGGCATGCATGAACAAGTTTAACGGAATAATTTTGACTGGAATAACTGGGCTCGCTAATTTATGGCTGGGTTGCGAATAACTCAAAAAGCACAATGACCATTAATGTAATTTACCTTATTTCCAAATTGGAGCTGAAAATTAGTTAAGACTTGAAACTCATATAATTGACCGAGCTCCCCAGTGGTTTAGTAGGCCCCGCCGTCGCTCAAACGGCACGTGGGGCTGAGGTTCTCTGGGTTATCAAATAAAAAATATAATTGACCGAGCTCACGTACAAAAGGAAAGTAGTTCATGGTCCTTTCCCCAAAATGATGGCCTACAGATCAACAACACAAATCGAGCTTCACTCCATTGGCCCTTTCTCTCTTCGATCTCCCACAGACATCAAAATTTCTACACAAACTTTCCTACTTTCCGTATAAAATTCATCCAGAGAAATGTGAAGTACCACTTTCGACAAGCACATAGCGGTCATGGAAAAGATCATTGCTTTCACCGTCCACAATGGTTGTAAAACATGGGAGAGAACAAAAATTTGGTATTCTAGTGGGTGGGTGTCAAAAGCTCCAAGATTTTCTGTCTCCTAAGCACGATCTTCTTTGTACTCTTCCTATTTGTCTGCAGATTATTCGAATTTCGACCCCATAACATGCGCCCTAGAAGGCAATTTAACACACAGCTCCACCGCTTTCAATAACCAGAGAGCAAAAATGGCTGGGAGTGCTTCTTCTTCTTCTTCTTCTTCTTCCTCCGGCGAGCACATCGTGATGCTTCCATTAATGACGCAAGGCCACCTGATCCCATTCCTCTCCCTCGCCAGACAAATCATCCGCCGCCGCGCCACCGCCACCGTCACCATCGCCACCACCCCGATCAACCTCGACTCCCTCCGGCGCAGCCTCTCCGACGAACCAACCTCCAACATCCGCATCGCCGAGCTCCCCTTCCCCGCCGATCTCCTCACCGAAACCGCGACCAGCACGCCGGAGTCCCGCCTCAATCTCTACCGCGCCTCCCTCGACCTCGAATCCCCTGTTCGCGATCTCCTCCGCCGGTCAACCCCTCCTCCGCGGTGCCTGATCTCCGACGTGTTCTTCGGGTGGGCCACAGCAACGTCCGAGAGTCTGGGGATTCGGAATTTCACTTTCACGACGTGTGGTGCTAACGGCAGCTTGGGGTACATGTCGGTGTGGATGAATCTCCCTCACCGGAAACAGAGGATCGCCGATTCCGACGGCGAGGAGTACTTTTCGATTCCCGGGTTTCCTGAAAATTACAGGTTCAAGATGAGTCAGCTTCCCCAGATCTTCAGAGACGCCGACGGGGAGGACCCTTGGTCGGAGTTCTTCCGGCCGCAGATTGCGGGGTCGATGGAGTCCGCCGGATGGCTGTGCAACACGGTGGAGGAATTCGAAGGGTCGGGTCTGGAGCTCCTCCGGAGATACGTGAACCGTCCGGTTTGGGCCGTTGGGCCTTTGGTCCCTCCAGTGGTAAATGGGCCGAACGAGACTAGTAAACTGTGCCGCGAGTGGCTGCAGGCCCACGGCCCAGGAACCGTGCTCTACATCTGCTCCGGGTCCCAAAACAGCCCAACTCCATCCCAAATGATCCAGCTCGCCACCGCGCTGGAACAAATCTCGGTCCCTTTCGTTTGGGCCGGGCGGGGCTTCGAGGAGGGATTCGCGGGCCGGGTGTCCGAGTCCGGGAAGGGAATTCTGATCCACGAATGGGCCCCGCAGATGGAGATTCTGTCCCACGCGTCGACGGGCGCGTTTCTCAGCCACTGCGGGTGGAACTCTGTGCTGGAGAGCTTGAGCGAGGGAGTTCCGATCGTGGCGTGGCCGCTGGCGGCGGAGCAAGGGTTCAATGCGAAGATGCTGGTGGAGGAGATGAGGGTGGCGGTGGAGATGGAGGGGTTTGAGACGGCGGAGGTGAAGAGGGCGGTGGAGAAGGCGATGGGGGTGGAGATGAGGAGGAAGGCGGCGGCGGTGGCGGAGGATTTGAGGACGGCGGTGAGAGATGATGACGGTGAGGGCGAGAAGGGTTCTTCCGTTAGGGGTATTAATGAGTTTCTGGATATGGTTTTGGGGAAAAACAATTGTCGATAGAAATAGGTTTCCGAACTAAACTCATTATTATTTGATTTTGATCCAATCAAATCATTTCAGAGTTCAGACCCATCTATCGAAGGCGTTCAGCCATGCAAAAAAACGTCGTTACTGAGCCACCAATTAAATTTATGCGATATTTTCTTTTACCAGTATGAATGAATTAAGGTGTTGACCGGAATATTATGGACCAAAAAATAAAAAATGGTGTGTTTGTGTGACGTGTCAAGAAGCATGTAAAAGCTGGGCTGGGCGTTTGCTATCCCATTGCCTCGTTAGTCCCATAGAGAACATGAAACGGTGGGCCTTTGTTGTTTTATGGATCAGCGGATATCGGAAGAAGTATGGGCCTGTTAATCACAGCCAAAAACTGGCCCATCATGAATTAGTGTGCTGAAATTTTCTGCCTACTACAATACCTGAGATCTAGTGATAATTTCCCCCCCATAATTAATCTCAAATAAAAGGAGCCTATACGATATTCCTCACACAATCAACATAAAATAAAAGGAGGTTGAACCATCGATAAACAAACTCAACGCACAGAAACCAGACAAAATGAAACAAACACCAGCAAAAACTAATAAACAAACCAGTTGAAATGAGACCACACTTTTCTTCTTCAGACCTTTCCCATTCCAATTCCCAAATGATGCTTATTGCTGCCGCAACAATGTATTGAATTTTCTGGAGAGTTTAATCAGTCTGGTGGTTTAGGGGGATCATTGAGGTCTAAAAGTCGAGAATTAATGCCTACAAAACGTGTAGCCGAAGCAAACCCACCGCCACCAACAGCACAAGTAGTTGAAAGTTCGTTTATTGTAGGTAATTAATGTTCATTCATTGGTTTTAATTAAGTACTCATTGGATGTTATAACGACATCCTCTAAGTATCACAATATCGCAAAAATAATGTTCGAATTACGAGAATTCATAAGAAGGAGTCGAATCCTCGACCACTAAATCACACAATTGTCAAGGTAGTTAGGGATGGCAATTTCGACCTGACCCGATTTACCCGACCTGTTTTGGGGCGGGTCAAACCCGCCCCGTAGGCGGGGCGGGGCGGGCATGGGTACCTCTCATCTACCCGACCTGCCCTGACCCGCCCCATTCTCGACCCGTTCTTGCCTAAATTACATATAATCTTAGTGAAATTACTTAAGATTTTCCTCTTATTACATTATATTTTAGCTATTATAAAGTTGTAAATAAGTGAAAACCTCAATTTCTTCAATAATTTAGCTAAATTTTATCATATTATGGTTTCTTTCTTGGTCTTTCAATGAAAAGAACGAATATTTCTAATGTTTTTCACATAAATTACATACCCAATGGGTCGACCTGCCCCGACCCGCGCCCCTTAATAAATTACCCGACCTGGACCCGACCTGCCATGGGGCGGGTATGGGTATCGAGATACCCGCCCCGAACCTGCCCCATTACCATTCCTAAAGGTAGTGTTAGAACCACGATCGAGTCGGAATTGTTCCATATCGAACAGAATATTAACCTCCATTATTAAATTGTTTAAATTAACATAATGCGGATATTATTGTCTCCATTATTCGCCGTTGATGAGCCTTTTCAAACAAAGCCGTATAATATATTGTTGTGATTATCGAGAGATAGATTCCCCCCAATGAAGAGGAAAAAGGAAGTAGCTGCTTGCTAGCTAGCTTAGCGAGCAGCACAACCCGCCATGGCTTGCAGACAGAGATAATATATACAAGAACTCGTTCATCACAAATAAATTTAACTCCCCGCTCTCATATTATACACATACAATAATGATCATATGAATCTGTGTATATATGTACATACATTTTTTATCAGGCCGTAAACAAAGATCAAGATGAAACAGTAAAAAAATAATAATTAAGAACAAGCAGGATCTTTTTTACTTTTACTCTCTTTCATGATTTATCTACATATACTTTTGACGTCGTGTGTGTATGATCTTTATATCGTTTTTTATAATCTCCACAATTAATTATTATTGTTTTTATTTTTTCACATCGAGGAGGAGGAGGAGAAGTGATCGGCGACGGCCTGCATCACCCTAACCTGGACGGCGAGACACTGCACGTAATGGGCCGTCTCCTCCAAAAGCTGGCCCATCTCCATCCGGCTCCCTCCCGGAACCAGCCCCCTCAGCTTCCCGGCCCGGCCCATCTCCCTCCCTTGCCTCCTCCTTACTACCACGCTCTTCTTCAACTTCACCGCCGCCGCCGCTCTCTTGACACTACTCTTTCTCCGCTGAGCCGGAGGAATATAATTAGGATGAACATCATGTTGTTGTCGTCGTCGTTGGCTCCTGGCCCGGGAGAGGAGGGCACGTGTCCACGCTCGGTGGCTCCCCGCGGCTCGGGCCATGGAGGAGTAGGCGGCCCGCTTGATTCTCAAGCTACGACGACGTATTACAAGCCCGGCGGCGTGAGTGGTGGTGGTTTTGCTGTCCGGAGAGTTGATACGGCGGAGGGATGTGAGGAATCTGTGGGTGAAGTTTCTCTCTAGTTGTTCTGTTGTTGCGGACATGGTTGAAAGAAAGAAGAGAAGATGATTAGGGTTTTGGGAGGGGAGAATAATGGTGAGGAATATGGATAACGAACTCTCTGACACAAGATGGAAAACGAGGGGGAGAACTTTATACCAACAGAGAGAGACGGGGGAGGGACAAATGAGAAAAGAAGGAATTGGGGGAGGTTAGGATTTTCTCTTCTGACACAAATAAACAGAGATAAAAAGGACGAGAAAAGCGAAGAAGAAACGGTCCCATCTTTGTTTCATTGCCTGCCATGTTCGGTTCAAAAAAGGAAATATGGAAGGAATATGAGAAGGAAATTTACGGAGTAAATGTGGGTTTAGTGATGGAGTTATATGTGTAAGGTTGTCAACCCGCGGGTCGACCCAATTTAACCCTGACTCGGTGAGAAAAACGGGCTGCACGGACCCGCCGGGTCTACCGCTACAAGGTACCGGGTTGGAGGTCAATTTTGTAATTTTTTTCTTTGATTTGCGAAATGCGCCTATTTTCCGATTTTTCTTTTCGCCTAACTCAAATTTTGAAATACTAAGTTGAACATTTGAATATTTATGTTATATAATTGTGTGTGAATTTTCACTATCTGTTGGATCTAAGTACGATATGTTATTTTGGTGTAATATTATATATTATAACTCATATGTTAGATAAGATTTGATATAGTTTATGAGATAAGTACAATATAATGACTCTTTCCATATTTTCGGGCCAAACCGGGCTAAAACGGTCGACCCATTAACCCTTGACCCACTAGCTCGACTGGGTCCGGGTCAACCCGCGGGTTGACAACCTTGTGTGTAATTTACAAGAAATTATGTATATCTCCCAGCATTTAATATTTGGTTTAAACATGGTGATGCATGTCAAAGCAATGGTATTAAATTTCAAGCAAATTAAGCCGTGAATCGTGATCGTATGTGTATAGTAAATTCGTCGTGATGCAGCAATCAAATCGCAAACCGAAGCTCGATTGATAGTATTTGGTTATTGATCCACCACTAGCTAGCTAGTTGGTGAAAGGCTGATATTATACACCTAGTTATAGCGATAGGCTGCTAAAATATATTTCAATGAATGGTGGTAACGAAAGGTTGGGTTATTAGTTAGTGTGTATATATATAACGTCGATTTCACGCATAGAGTTTTGTCTCTTGTGTGTGATGAACGTGCGTGGTGACGACGTATGTGCGGCCACATGTTTTGCTTTAAAAAGGCAGCAAAGAAAAATGGAAAGGAACAAGTCGATCAAATAAGCACCCAATTATCTCTACATTTCAAGTGGTAGCCAAATTTACAACCGAATTCAAGAGGATTCCTAACCCTTCCATATGGTCAAGAGATCAAAGATTTGGCGTTTGCTAATACAAATTTCACAATGAGTCTCCGACAACGATTGATTACTAATCACTCGGTTTCAATTCCTTGACGCAACTGATTTGATGGTTAAAAAGAAAACACTGATATTATGGAGACAATTTCATACCTGGAAAAAGTTCAATCGCTTCCCAATTATGAAACTCAACACGAACCTTGTATATTAGGCTTGAATCGAATGTTTATATAGAGAAATTTCTATAATTCAAATTCATTCAATTTTAGATGGTTGTTGATCTAATTGATTCTCTTAGATGGTTGTTGATTTCAATATTCGAAACTAGAGTATCATGGATGTTCTTATTCTGAATGATGATATCATAAATATGAATGAAATGGGGCTAAGAACCTACGTTCAGAGAATTTGAACAGACGTGCAACTAAATTGTAATCAACTACTATATTTTCCAAATTTATTACAAAAATATACTTATAATTTTATATAATTGCGAGAGTTTAGAGGGCAATAACTTTCCCAACTATCAACATGACTTCACCAATGGTCATACTCACATTATCACTAGATCAACCATTTACCCTTTAGTTCAATTCCTAATCTATTATTATCTTTCACAACATAATTTAGTTAAAACTTTGTGTGGATGGATTAGTGATAATAGGGCCAAGCCTTTTGTTTATCTCCACAAGGAAGTTGTAGAAAGGGAAGTTGGGAGAAGTGGATTGAGGGACCCATAATGGGCTAACTACCACATGAAGGCACATGGTTGAGTTTCCCATCCATTTGTCTCATGATGGGAACCTTCTCTTTTCTTTTCTTTTCTTTTCTCTTAATTTCCCCACCCTCTCTTTATTCCTTTCTAATCTTCTTGGTTTATGACTTTTGCTTAGCAATGCCGTATTGTGATTAGATGCTTTTTTTTTTTTGGGGTGGTGTGTTGTTCACTTGTTTATGGTGTTAGGTTTACATTCCCTTTCTCCTAATTGATAATTCATTAAAATCCAAATAATTTTTTTATTATTATCAGTCAGCGATCGACACCTCACTCGAAGTTGAAATGACAGCCTGACGTTTTTATTTTTATTTTTATCATACGCACAAGACGATGCAATGTTATCATTGTGTTTGGGGGAGGGAGGGGAATAGTTTGAGTGATCTTTGGACAATGTGCATTTTTGGAAATAATTAGTGTCTCGATTTGGTTTGTGTAGGAAAGAAGAATTAAATCATGAATAAGTACCATGGTTGAGAAAGATGACAACTATGGAGTCTTGAAGTGAAGGTTTAAGATTGAGGAAGGAACGAAGGCGAAGAAAAAAGGAACTGGCCCATCATAGTTATAAGAAAATGGGCCAGATTTCCAGCAACTGAAGCTGGGCTTTATATAAGTCCCGACAATATGGATCAAAAGGCCAATACGAACACTAGGCTCAAGTCATTTTATCCGGCTCCCGATGTGGGCCGCTACCCCCCCAAAACAAATAGCACCGCTCGTGTTGTTCCCGGGCCACTTCCACATAAGGCCCAATACAATCACTACTAGGCCCGATCGTTGCCATTCCCTCGCCTCTCTCCCCTCCCCATTTCGGATTCGGCCCTACTATCATCGATAAACTTTTTCTACGAGTTTAGAATGTCAGTTTTAGTGGGAGGACGTACAAAAAAGAGTAGTATAAGATTCATAATTAACTTTCGAAAATTTGCTCACGTCGACCATAATTTGTGTTTCAGTTAATTCTCAATACCGAGGTCGTGGAAATCTGTACAACTATCGTGTCATAAACCATATAATTCCAATAACTCGGAATTATAAAACTACCGATCTTATACCACTCTCTTACGCAGACAAAACCCATCGCGCCTTTCCTTTCACTTTCCCACACTTTAATTAGTGAACTAACTAGAGAGTTATGGGAGAGGGGATAACACCTAGCTAGGATCCAAAAACGACATGTACCATAAAGGAGGACGACGAAGGAAGACTAATTGCAGACCACAAAAACTGGTATCTAGACTGCCCCACAAATGAAAATAACTCAAAGAGCCTCTAATTTCTGTGGCTCTAACATTAGTCGGTTAGTACTTCTAATCAGCTTGTAATAATCAATCGCATGCATATACAAAGTATGTATTATGTAATTTAGCCTCTCCAACTAATAATTCATTACTTGACCAAAACTTCCATGAAATTGATTAATTAATGATGATGTGTATCCACAAACTGTCGAATTATACGTGTTTAGTTTCATAAAATACTCTAGAGAGAGAGAGGAAAAATACGATGATAATCACTACTTGATCGCCACTTGTCAGTTGCTTAATTGATTTGCCAACTCACCGGAGGGACACCTGCTATTATAATTGTTGTTATTATTATTTGAGAAAAAAAAGATTAGGATGGCCATAATAACTCATAATTAACAGCTTAAGGGGCCACTTAATTAGCCAATCGGGGTGACTGATGATCGATGGAGGGTCGTCGGCCACTAACTAAGTAGAGCTATAATCAGGGCCGGCCTAGAGGGTGTGCTGGCCCGCCCTCCGGCACAGGGCCTCCGAATATTAGGGGCCTCCACTTAGATCCGTTAGTTACCGATCGTACATTGTAGATTGTATTTTTAGTATATGATTGATTGATTATGAGTATGATGACGATTTTAATAGATAATTTTAGCTACAATAACAATTAAAAATGATATCATGAAGACTACGAAAATAAGAAAGATAATAGATAATTTTATGGGTAACGTCTATTTTTTATCCAGACCTTTTTCAGATTCTTTTATAATATCCAAACCTATCGAAATACTAAAAATTAGCCGAATGTTAACTTTCGGTTAGCATTTTTGTTAGTAGTATTGACTTGACAACATGATACTGACTTGGAAGAGACACATGAAGGTCAAGATTCCAAAATTTTAGTATTTTAACTAAGAAAAGAGTTACAGAATTATTAACAATAACGTAAAAATGACTAATATTTTGGTGCATTATGAAAGATTTGGCTAATTAATAAATTTTTAATAGGTTTGGATAATATAAAAGAATCTGAAAAAGGTTTGGATAAAAAATAGACATTACCCTAATTTTATTTTAAACTATGTAGAAAGATATTACAGTCATTTTAGTTTTATTATAGTTAAAAGTCAATTTAGACCACGTCTCAATTTTGGAACAAGGCCCCCACGAAGCATTAGACAGCCCTGGGAATTTGGTTTTGGTTTCTTCCTCAAACTAGAAACGTGATCATTTATTTCTTTTGTAATCATTTTCTGAGACTATGCATTTTTTTATAATTATTTAATAATTTTTATTTTTAATAAATTTGTGGAGAAAAATTTTAGGGCCACATTTTAAATTTTCGAACAGGGCCTCCGAATATCATGGGACGGCCCTGGCTGTTAGTTTATAGATAGATAGAAGATCATCATCATCACATAAGTTTGGTTGTGAAGCAAAGCTAATTAATGGTGATTGGGAAATGATTCCATATAACAATACTTTTTTTTTGCTTTTTGTTATCCATAACAAAATTGTTCTTTTTTCTCCATGTTCATGAATTCGAATTGTCTGCTTACATGAATTAGTCGAATATTCATTGACAGAGATGTGTAGAAGGCATGAAATCGTGTTGCTCCCTTCTCATTTTAAATCCAGACA